TGTAGTTATAGATTTTGTAGCTTTGTTTTCCACTTCCAGAAATGTTACGTGCAGCCTCTGGTCTACTCATTGTAGCAACATACACGCAATGATTTTGTATTGACACCAACAGATGTCAATCTCAACGCATTATTAACAAATATGCGAATGGTGGATGTAAACCTATTTTGCTCAGTACACTGAACACTCACGCAGTGTCAAAACCTAAATCAATATTATCGTTTTACTAACAATAACATTGAATCAAACCCCGCCTACAGGTTTTTTAGATTTTTAGATGATAATCACTGCCGTCAAACATGCAAAACCGTTTTAGGGCTGCGAAAAGAGAGAGTGGATTGGTTTCTGTACGGTTATATGGTGTGGAAGTTTTGGGAGCATACCTTCTGTACCATCAACATTCTAAAACCACATTAATAAATATGAGATTTCTAATCAGTAGACAATTTACACTGATACACTTAGAAAACGCATGTTTGATAATATTTGGTAAAACGGACCACATAAATCAAGACGGTTGTTCTGAGTATAAAGGGTAGATAACAGATACAACAATGTGCCTTCACGATTGGAGTCTTAAACCAAAACACACATTTTCTCGGATTTCGAGTTGAAGTTGATAATACGTTCGTTTTCATTATTTTCATCAAGATGTTATGCTCTTTTCACGACGATTTCAAGCTGCGTCGTACAACTCTTGAATCAGAAGTTCGATCAAGGTTACAACATTCAAGGTGTCAGTACAGCTCTGCCTTTAGCAAGGAGTTTTGGTGGATGAGGACACAGATTTTTGTCAGTATATTTTCATTGTGTTCTAATAACTTGGTAGGTGTTTGTGTTATATATGCATGCATGTGTGTGTGTGTGTGTGTGTGTGTGTGTGTTTGTGTGTGTGTGTGTGTGTTGGCGTGGATGTGTGCCATAATACAATAAAGACATCTAGATTTAAATGAATCTACACAGATATACAGCTGGACAAGTAACCATTGTGACTGTATAGGAACGAGTCAAATTCGTTCCACAGCATGACATACCTGCGTTAGTTAACTCGAACTCATCCGCTCCACATGCCATTATGTGTTTAGGGATAATGAAACGATGGGCTTGCACACACCAGTTAAAGGACACTATTTCAATCTGTCAACATCATTATGTAGTATAAACGAACCTGTGCACTTAATCCTTGTATATACACGTGCACGAGATGAAGCTTAATCCTAACGTATATATACAACACTTGGTGCTAACGAGATGAAGCTTCATCCTAACGTATATATACAACACTTGGAGCTAACGAGATGAAGCTTCATCCTAACGTATATATACAACACTTGGAGCTAACGAGATGAAGCTTCATCCTAACGTATATATACAACACTTGGTGCTAACGAGATGAAGCTTCATCCTAACGTATATATACAACACTTGGTGCTAACGAGATGAAGCTTCATCCTAACGTATATATACAACACTTGGTGCTAACGAGATGAAGCTTCATCCTAACGTATATATACAACACTTGGTGCTAACGAGATGAAGCTTCATCCTAACGTATATATACAACACTTGGTGCTAACGAGATGAAGCTTCATCCTAACGTATATATACAACACTTGGTGCTAATGAGATGAAGCATCATCCTAAACTAACGTATATATACGATGAAGCTTCATCCTAACATACGACACTTGATGCTAACATATGTATAACGAGATACATCACATACAACACTTGGTGCTAACGAGATGAAGCTTCATCCTAACGTATATATATACAACACTTGGTGCTAACGAGATGAAGCTTCATCCTAACGTATATATACAACACTTGATGCTAACGAGATGAAGTTTCATCCTACCATATATATATACAACAATTGGTGCTAACGTGATTAGAACCACTAGATATATTCTTGCATCGTGTGTTAGGATGGAGACACCGAAGGATCTTTATACTATTAATAGGCATATACGTTGAACATAAAGACTTTTCTGGGTTTCATCTTCATCAACTGTTCTACCTGATGATGAGACCAGAACAAGCCCTGAAACGTTGTACCAAACAATAAATAGAAGGTGAAACCCAGAAAAATCTCTATGTTCATCAAAAAGCATCTTCTAAAATGACAATCAAACATCTAAGGCATATACGTTCTTGTCGAAATGTTATTAACTAGGAGATATCATAATATATGTAAATATTCACTATATCGAATGTGTTATTATTTACTGTTTCTTTTAATTGACATTTGTCGGGTATCCCATCGTTAATACATAAACAATCCTAAAGTTAATTAGGAACAATTTGAATACGCGTAGAGTAATACATTATTAGCTATTAATACAAAACTCAATGCAAATACAAAAGTGTTCCACTGTCTGGTTACAATTAGTATGTTTATCTGACACAAAGAAACAATTGTGGAACCTTCTAAATTATGAAACTAGGAATACCATCAACGAAGCATGAAAGTGAGTACATTCCTATTGAACCGATTCCAATAAGTAGAAATCTATACGCTGTAGAGAGTTATATGTAAGTGTCTGCTAATCTGACTTTGATCCTTTACTGCAGATAATCGAGACTGGTGATTCCCTACCTTGACGTTATATACTTCTTACTGGTGTGAGAAGAGAGGACTTCTATATCCCATTTAATCCCGTTTAGAACATGTTCAACTAAACAGATATGTGTCCATATAGACTGTAGTTATTCTCGTTGAACTTTGCTGTCTGAAATAGCTATTATACTGCCTTGTCATGCCACTGAGGCATGTTGCACTTACATATAGTGTAAGACTTGGGAAATATGGTACAGAATTGATGAAGAAATTAAAAGCATTGAAGCAGACAACTTATGTAAAACGTTTGCATTCATTTAGAAAATATAATGTGTCACCATCGCACATTTGAGGTTTAATGCTTGACGTAAACATATGAGACAGTAAGCAGATTAATATAGATTTTCAAATAAACAGCATGGCAAATTATGGAAGTGACATTAAAGGGATGGTAAATGGCTTTGTTAGCTAATCATGTTTTTAAGTGAATTGTATATGCTGGTTTCTAAACATTGGAAGCTCTGAGCGCTTCTCGCTTGTGTGGCAGACACGTACAGATAGTCAGGAATATGTCAAACACTGCCATAACATCCTTGTTTATTTTGATTACGTATGTACTAGCAATGTGAATGATGAAATATTTGTTTGTCAGCCTCTGAACACCTGTGTGCACCGATGCAGATGTTCTTGAACCTGTGCGTGTTCAGTCAAGAGATTAGATTTCTTGCTTAACATAATGCAATAATGTAATATTCTATGTAACTTCGATGTAAGTGTCAAGACGCATGTCATATTTGCCACCTGGTGCAGCAAGCCTCTCTTAATAATTATGTAATTATATGCGTGTGAAAAATAACTACGAGTAAACTTCAAAGACCTTTAACGCTTGAATATTCAAATCAAGCATTTTATTAAACCGCGAGACAGCAATTATTTCAAAATCATCTCTTTATTTTCACAAACGCCTGACGCATCTTTATATACGGTTCAAATAAATCTCTGTATTTTCGTAATCGTCAGACGTATTTTTAAGTAAGGTTGAAATTAATCTTCTCTATCCTTATACGTCAGACGGTCAGATTAACCTCTTTATTGTCATATATGCATAAGACGGCAGCGACGAAGATAAAATGGTTGATTTTCACGGTTTAGTTCAAAGTTTACACCGTAAACATTTCTGAATAGTATTATAAATCTTTTTATATAAAATCAAAACATCTGAATATCTGAACGCAGCCTCAAAATGACTGAGAAAACACGGATGAAGGATCGTCTTATCACGTTCTTGTGATAAAATGTTTAGACTGTAAATTAAAACACCTGCTTTCGTATGAAATCGTGTGTAAGACAAACCAGTTGAATTTGGAAAAGATGTGTAAGGTCACATGAGTCAATAGGACAGGACAGCCTTTTGTCTGTTTTATTCAACAGAGGAAACCTTTGAGTAAAACTAGAGGCACTTGTTTAAAATGGGTCATTGTTGAAGTTCATTTTTTGGGCAAACGATGAGTTGATCATGACCTCGGGACTGCTGTCTGCATGCCAATATCAAAAGTAGTGAGAACACGCAACTTCTACTTTTCAATTGTGCACCATGTTTTTTACGGCGCCGAAAACAAACCTCTTACGTAATGTTATCTGCTAGCCCGGTATTGTCCAAACAGTTTCCTGGGAGTCTACAAACGAACCACGGATTCAATATTGACACAGATTTGGTCAACTCGGATTCGGGTTCTACAAAAAGACGGCGTTAAAGAGCTGATACGAAATCGGAATGCTTTAAGAACGTGAGCTGGAATCGGGTTTGAAGCTCTGTTAGTGGCTTACAATTTCTTACGAACAACCGGACAGGTAGCTTTCGGACGTCCGTGGAATTTCCCCGTCTTCCGATTACAACAGGAAGGACAATTTCCTCGGCTGACCGCTGTATTACAAGTATGCTTTTCCCACTGTTTTCCGGAATCTTGTACATGAGTGTTTTTTACAGTGACCTTCGTTATTTAGTTTACATACATCAAACTATGGTGTTCTTTACTAAGCTGCAACTATATTAAGGGACATTACCTCTTCAAAAAGTAAGTCTTAAAAGATTCTAAAAACATATTTATCATTTCATTATTGTCTTATTTTCCCATTCTTGGAAATATTGAAAATATTGGTTTGAGGCCTATGTGTTCAGACCACTCTAAAATGAAAGATTAAATACATGTTCGTAACATTATACAAGATCTCCATGGATTAAAACTGCAGGTGTATTTACACTCGCGATAATCTGTATGTTGGTTAAGATATTTAAAGCCATGTAAATTACTTAGTTTCTCTGCACTGTGATGAAGATGCAATCTATATACCCACACGTTGTCGTAATGTGTGCATGTAGATACCGCTTACAGTGTAACCACTTCTATAGAAGGATGTCATTATTAGACATTTTATACGAATGGCGAAGACGGACGTCCATAGTATGTATTAAGTTGTGTTTCTTAGCTGCAATGCTTCATGAACATATTTTGAACTGTAATGATTTCCACTTGAATCCTTTGATATAACTTAAATAATGGACAGGACACTTGGTGTCATCACTGATTTACAATGATGATTTTACAGCTATTTTTCCCTTTACACCAAAGGGAATATGTCTCTGAGGATAGTCAAGACTAGGTATTCTTTTGTACTGACGTTCTGTATCAGATTATTATATACCGAATTATTATTATGATTGTATTTCTCAATGTGACGTGATCGAAGATGGTCACATAATGGAGGCTGAAGTACAGCCGATGTGACTAAAATCATAGTTTATTATAAAATGAGACTCATCTTCTTCATCAATTTGTACATGTAATTTTTAATGTAGCTACATTTTCAGCATAACAGCGATGTATTGATCGCGTATGAGCTTGATATTAGCAAAATACGTTAGAAATGGGAATAAAGAAATAATAATCATATGTGTAAATTATGAGCCGCATATATCCCTTTGTCGTAATTGCGAGTTTTGCTTATGTCATCTGAAATAGTTACACCTTTACAGAAATGAAAGAACATGCATAAAATCATAATTATGAATGCCTTAGCAAAATGAATAATTTTGATTTCGATAATTTCTGCATTTTAACAATTTACATTATAATGAGTTAGCAGGAGATTATGAGAAGTGAGACCCTTTTAACCACATAGTACGATATTGGGCCCCAAACACTCTACCAGTGGAGGGAGTCGGCACAAAGACGCCATCATGCGTAGCGTTACCTGCTGCTCGTGACAGTCATGTACACGATTACCACTTCGTTTCGTTTCAAGCGATTATAATTATTTAGTTTAACCTTTGGTTGAACTCAGTGCACCAGCAATTAAACACGACACTGTAATGAGGAAAAGAAAGGGGCACATTCTTGTCAACAGAGAGTGGGGACAAGCCGCTTTCAAAGCATGCCATTACCAACTCAACAAAGAAGCGCCAAACACGCGGACTGGATGGAATACCCACCATTCAGTGAACAATTAATGGGGAGGTGACATTAGGTTTAACGTCGCGTTCAAGATTGTCTCACTCATATAGCGACATGCATGCACGTGTGTTTGAGTGTGTGAGAGAGACAGACAGAGAGAGAAATGTAGAGAGAGAAAGAGGAGAGACAGAAAGATAAAGAGAGAGGGAGAGAAAGACTGTGCGTGTCAGTGTATGTTTGTGTCAGTGGTTGTTTGTGTCAGTGGTTGTTTGTGTCAGTGTATGTTTGTGCCAGTGGTTGTTTGCGTGCGAGCGTCTGTGTTGAACCAGACAATCCACTTGTGGAGAGATATTGTAGAAATACATAAGTCTTTAGACGACACCTCAACTTCAATGATACACAGGTTATTTTTGACATTTAGTTTTAAACACATATAATTTTTAAATGTCCTAACAATTTTAGTCTACGGTTAGAAGGGCAAGGTAAATATACTGAAGTACAAAAGAAAGTGCACATGGTGTTTTGGGGTTATTTTAACAAAAACAACCACAATGCGTCCTGTGGTGACTTGTCCCTTCTTTAAACATTTGTATCATAAAGCTGACGTGTCAGCGTCTGCTGTTGCTTTTCAGTTACAGATACATGTTTACATGGCATGTATTTTTTTCCTCTAGTGTATACCGAAACTATCGTAGCCATGCATTTCAAGGCACTCTGGTTAAATGCCAAACACCGTTTTGTCACCTACCACATCTCTCGTTAGACCCATGCATTTTTCGACTAACATCAAATAACAGAGGGTCTGTCTGAACTTGCAAAATGTCACGTGAAAGTCTGCATGTCATTACAACCGTAAACGCCGCCATGTCCGCAGCCATGTTGCGGTCACCATGTTGGCTGACCTGACCACAAGCTGTATATCGCAGTTTTTGAAGAAACTGAAGTTTCAACCTAGATGTGTTTAACATGAACCCTGAAACATGGACAACAACGTGATGCTTAATTCCGACTATGAAACCGAAATATAACGAAATCCCAATTCCTATAACCATTCGAGCGTAGCATGTGCAGTCGATTGTACCAATGGTCCAGGTTCGATTCCAACAATGTCTTAAAGCCCTTTCCTTTTCTTAAGGCTACCTGATTATAATGGTTTGGATAACTACTCTGTGTTCCCCTATCAATAAGACAGTACATGTATTCAAAAAATCGCATTTTCATTTCACCGAATAGTGTATAACTATTATATAAAATTTCAATACGATTATAAATAAAGCAATTAAACCTTTTAACAAAATGATGGGAAACAATTTTTCAAAATGTGTTCACTAGCCCTAAAAGTGTGCGTGTGTGTGTGTGTGCGTGCGTGCGTGCGTGCGCGTGTGTGTGTGTGTTTTCCGAAGGTGACAAGTGGTTCATTTCTGTTAATGTTCAATTTTTTACGTATCAGTACGAGCGCATTTATTTACAATTTCTGAAGAAAATTATTCGGCGTTTTTTGACAGTAAGTTGCAAACATATTACTTTATTGTTTGATTAGAAACCAAAATCTACATTACCTAATAGTTTACAGAAAAAATACCCAGAAACAATACTAACACGGGTATTCCTATTTGTAACACGGGTATTCCTATTTGAGTATATTTTCTAAACGTTCGTGTGTTAACATTTACCGAGATCATCTGAGTGTCTGTAAGTGTCACTGACTTGGCACATGCGAACTTATGTAGGCGGTCACGATGTCCCTAACTATTTTAAGACACCTAATTTTTAATGCTTTCCCAACACTGTCTGCAGCTGTCATGCTAAATATGAACATTACTCATGCGGTCTGTGTCATTCAGAATGTTGTGGGAAGGGGGATTAACTGAATTTCAACGAAAGCAGATCTGGGTGACCTAACGATAATTTGACAGCGAACAATTTGTGTAAAGGATTGTGATTGAACAACAAATATACCTGAATCGACAAAAATGCTGATAGTCGTTTATGAAAAACTAAGTACACATTATGTATTGGCAGATTTTATAATATGAAAATTTTAATTTTCATTAAACTGAAATAATGTTAATGTTTAAATTTGGTGAATTTCACAAAGTGAAACCTCCAATTTTGCCCTGAAATATGTTCATACAACATCGTGAAAAAATGAATAAGTTATATATTTCGAAAATTAGAATAGTTCTAAACAGCAATCATGTTGTTACAAATGTATGGATGCAGAGTACGGGATTATTTATTCATAATGATATACATTCACATTCAAAGATAGCGTGTAAATGTTTATTGACATATCTGTCAAATACACTCCTCTGTGATTGACACAATCACCGCAAAGGCCATGCAGTCTGTCAACAGTGGTTGTGTTAAAGTGATGAAGGACGTATACTAACATTCTGATGAAATGTCAGGCTATTGAAATAAGCTGCAGGTGTTGTACCGCATGTACCAAACCGGCGAAAATAACTTGTTCGCTGTTCAAAACCAGTATCGTAATGTCAACACCGTGTTAGCGGAAACGACATTATTTCTACTCATTTCTACCTTCACAGAATGTTTTATGATGAACATGTGACATTTCCTGTCTTAAAGCATCAGGGACAAACATTTGGGCGCAGTTCCCTATTTTGAATTGTTTTAGGTGAATTGTTTTGCTTTTGGACCTGGATGCTATTGGTTGGGAAAGGTTACGCTCACTTATTTGCACCTCCATCACTATTTGATTGATGTTCGTGGTCGCATGTTCATGATATGGTCACAATTGTACTCTTTGTTGGCAGAGAATTTATTTTATGAATATGAAAGGGTTTTGTCGCTTTTATTTGTATGAAAGGTTGAGTGAGGTAGTTTGTCACGTGTGTTTCAACGTTCATTTGATAGACATTCCCGTAGTCAATGGCAACATGTCATTAACAAGCCCAACGGTTAGGTCTCAGTATCGTGAGCCTACCTCGTTCTTCGGTGTGGAGGGGACGGTGGGGTAGCCTAGTGGTTAAAGCGTTCGCTGGTCACTCTGAAGGTCCGGGTTCGATTCCCCGCATGGGTACATGTGTAAACCCCATTTCTGGTGTCCCCCGCCGTGATATTGCTGGAATATTGCTAAAAGCGGCGTAAATTCCAACTCACTCACTCATCTTTATACCCTTCTTTTACGTCATAGTCGTACCCTGTTGTTAATTCACTGACATGCACAACTATATACCCACCTACATACACATTTCCACATTTGTGAAATTTTTGGTCAAGTTTATATACCATGTAGAAACCTGCTCGCAGAGAAAACGAAGTGCATTGATCACACTCACTCACTCACTCATTTTGGAATTTACGCCGCTTTTAGCAATATTCCAGCCATATCACGGCGGGGGACACCAGAAATAGGCTTCACACATTGTACCCATGTGGGGAATCGAACCAGGGCCTTAAACGTGACGACCCCACTGGGCTACCCCACCGCCCAAAAGGGGTGAAAAGCAAAATAGAGGCGAAAATCTACGTCTGGAGTATTTATGTGCAGAACTTCTGCTACCTATATGCAAAGAAAAACATTTAAGAAACAATGGGGTGTTTTTTAAATTATTATTTTTTGGAACACAGAGGGGAAAAGGATGGCAGCCTTTGACAAAAAAATTTAATGCAGACGAAACCAATATAGAACGTCAATGCAAAACATACTCAGTCAGGCGCGTAGCAAGCTAATTTTTTCGTGTAAGCCCGATAGGTTACAAAGCTTCATATTTAGATAGTTTTGAGGGCTTGCCCAGCCTATTTAGCAACAATCGTGTGTAAGCCCGGGCTTTTTTGTATTATGGTAGCTACGCCCCTGTCAGTCTTGACTATCTCAGTAACGAATTCATGTGTTCAAGGGAATGTAGCTGTGAAAAGTATATGACTGGAAAATCACACCAGGTGTTCCCGATCTGATTTAGGAAAATCAGCGCATTTTCACCATGCTGCACACACGCCAGCTGATTTCATTTGAGTACTGAAAAAACATTTAAACATGCAAATATTAGTTTATTAGGGCAAATAAGTTCTCGTTTCAAGGTCAGACAAGGTGACCCTTCCAATATTTACATACAGTCAGAGCAGATTCTTTCGCGTTGTTTAATTTGCATGAAAGGTTGAACGAGGTTCAAAGCCTTTTCCGTGCATTGCGCGTCTTCTTGCAGTCTCGGCGGTTGGCAGACAGCCAGTTTCTGCATTTCCTTTAGGTAGCACAGTGACATTTTGTGCCTAGCTCTGGCGGTTTGACATTTCGAATTTCGCATCTTTCATTTTCTGATTATTAAGGGATTATTGAGGCTGGACTTTTTCAAAGGTATTTAAAAATTCACCGCTGACAATGGATGGTGCGAGGAATTAAGATGAAAAAATAGTAATTGTCTTGGATGGTATTTGAACGCGAACTTTCCTATGCATGCTGTTCTTATGTTACTGGAGGTCATTCAGAAAACAATCCATCAACTAATGTGACAAGCATCTATCGAAAAACGTACAGATGTGGGCAAATAAGCCACATTGATAATGTGTTGAAAGTAAGTGACGAACGTTGTGGTCATTTGAGTGTGTTTCCGATGACGATTCATGAATGAATCAGGTTGTTAAAAAAACACGTTTTCAAAAATGAGTTTTGATTCGTAAGTTACTATCCACGTGGAATTGTTCTACTTGCATGGTAGTTTGGAATCAGAATGTGACATAACATAGGTGCAAATAGGATCTGACTGTAGTGTGTTTCATTACTGATTTCAATTTTTACACGTGACTGTTCGGATCTGGATAAGTTACACCAAGATGAGGTGGTTCTATTTAAATAGCTTCAAATTTGTTTTCCGACATTTGAATATAAATGTAAGCTCAAAAAATAACTAATTTGAATATTTGTTCTGTGTTATTCAGGATATAGTGCACAACAGACAGAGCCAGATAAGAATATTTCTGACAGCGGGCCCCGGGAAGTTACGTCAAAGGGTTTCTTGACGACGCTTGGATCAACGAAACCCTCCGAGATAGCTTCCAAACCTGAAGATGGAAAAACTGACAGCATCACATCAATGAGAGCACTGAGTGACCTGGCACAAGATGTTAACAAACCAGCAGCGACCATTGTCCAAAATGATGGCGACCAAAATGACCCGGATGGTACGGACGTTGAGTTATCTCCCTTTAATGTACGTGATATCACGTCCGACATGCAGAGTGCGAACCTCGAACGCTCAGTGGCTTCGGAAGGTACCAGTTCAACGCCACTGGCTGTTAGCCCTACAAATAGCTCTCAGCCTACATGTAATCAAAGGACCCACAAAGGATGTGACGTCATTAATTATGAACGATGTACTCAAATGGGGACATGCGGATGCCTTAGAGGATACCTTAAAGACGTCATAACAGACAAATGTATAGGTAAGTTTAATTGTTCGAGCGTGGGGGGCGGTGGGGTAGCCTAGTGGTTAAAGCGTTCGCTCGTCACGTCGAAGGCCCGGGTTCGATTCCCCACTTGAGTGCAATGTGTGAAGCCCATTTCTGGTGTCCCCCGCCGTGATATTGCTGGAGTATTGCTAAAAGCGGCGTAAAGCCATACTCACTCAATCACTCACTCAAGCGTCATTACAAAGTAGAAATACATGCACAAATGTATATTACCACGCGTATATGAGTCGAGTTTAGCTTTATGCCACTTTGTCTGAAATGCACACAAAGTAACATCGAGTTTGAATTTGGCTAGTGAGTTTAGACAAAAATAGAAAATTTATAATAACAGAGAGCACATGACAATGATGCGACACTACAGAACAAAACTATTCTTTTATTCTAATAAAACACCTTGATACAAACAGGGCTCCAGATAAGGGCCGTATCGGCGTATGTACGGATAAAAAATATACGCAGCAGATACGCACCACAGCAATGGTGTATGGTCTGAGAATCATTTACAGACGTATTTATCTGACAAAAAAGTATTGTTCTATTGTTCATTGACCTGTTTACACAAAAAGCAATGTTGTGGTGGATATATGAAGCGAAACACAACATTACTGATTCTCCATTTATTTCCATTCAGTACTCTAAATGTACACTTGAGGTTTTCCAGTACTCCTATATTGAACAAATAAGGAGTACGTACTCCTCATGTTGAAAAATTATCTGGTGCCCTGTAGAAATAGACTTTCTTGACATGTTTCTAAATAGGTAGGAACATATGCTATGCTTGAATATAAGAATCGCGTCGAACAAAATCCCAGTGGCTCAAGCCCAGCTGAACTGGAAATGTAAGATACCAATGAGAAACTCATCCTCTGTTTCCTCTGTTTCACATATAGATGTGGGGCGGTGGGGTAACCTAATGGTTAAAGCGTTGGCTCGACACGCCGAAGACCCGGGTTCGAATCCCCACATGGGCACAATGCGTGAAGCCCATTTCTGGTGTCCCCCGCCGTGATGTTGCTGGAATATTGCTAAAAGCGGCGTAAAACCAAACTCAGTCAGTCAGTCATAGATGTATGCATAATGATTCAGAGTTACAATGACTATCCACAGGACAGAGGGATGACTTCAACTTTCCAATAGTCAACCTTCCCTTTATGACGGGCAAATTTCCTATACTGTGTCAACATACGAGAACATTTGCTGTGACTCTCCCAACTTGTATTTCCAAGAGCACCATAGGGCGTTTTCTCATAAGTTAAGCCTCGGTAAAGCTTTCGAAACAATTGTAACATTGACATGTGGAGAATATTTCCAAAATCGAGGCATCAATAATAAAATGTATGTGGGATGCAATTCCCTATTTGACTTCTACCATATCTTCTCGTGTGTTCTTTACATGAAACATTTACGCGCCTTTGCATGTGTTTTTGATGCGTGCTAACTGTGAGACCGGTTACGCTCACTCGGTATCAATGCTATTCGATCATATGGTGATGGCAATAATTTCAATCGCTATTATTGAGAAGAACACAAGATGTGCATGAAAGCAAACTATATGCTTACACTATTTATTCCGCTGAGAACGAAGAGATCGCTGGGTTGTTGAGCAATGCCCTCAGCAGCTGTATTGATGGCCTTACATTTGCCCTATATTGAACACAGGTGGTACGGGGAATAGCTGTGTCGCCATTGGAATATGTACACAATGTTTTCCTTTTATATTAAATATTTTTTCAAAGCGTTTATTCACACTTTGACAGGTACGTAAACTAACAGACATACGTAAGTGATTGAGTTTGTATCAACGCCACTCTGAACATTATTTCAGTGAAGAATATCAAACTGATGCAGGATTTACACGCTATCACTTTGGTGAAATAAACAAGATAATCAGGACGAGTCGGCGTGTCAGCTTGGTGTTGTAGGAAAACTCGGAGTAATATAGATATTAGATGTTTACTACTTTGGTGAAACCCACGAGCTGACAAACCTGGGATCGAAACCAGGGCGAACCTGAGATTCGAACCCTCGAGAATAGGCTTCCGTCAAGCCCAAGATCACTGGCTAAATGAACATTGCGCAGATCACACAAATTACAAGGAAAACAGGATTAACGTGAACATGCTTTTCACATTTACACATTTTCAGGTCTATTTTTCCATATACATTTTCTTGAATTCAACTGGGTACAATGTGTGAAGTTCATTTCGGGTGTCCCCCACCGTGATATTGCTGGAATATTGCTTAAAGCGGCGTTAAACAATACTCACTCACTCACTCACTTTCATTCAACATCAAATAACACACTACTGTCAATGTAACCAATGTAATTATTTATGAGCGATTTGTGGTGATGTAACTGGAATACTGTTGAAAGCTGATATAAACCCAACTCACTCACTCACTCAACAAGCAAACTCTTTCCTACAACAATGCAAGGAATATGACAGAGATACATTTTACACCCAGTGTTGTATGGCGGATAATTCTTTGTTTCAGCTGCACAGTTCTTCACTGGTGAAATTGAGTTAGCCAACGATTACACGGAAGATTTTGCAGATAAATCTAGCGACGCATATATACGACTGACAACACAACTGCAGCAAGTTGTAAGAAAACCATTTTTTACGTCGTGTCATGTTCTTAAATTATAATCATTTAGAATCATATTCATAAATAGTGACCATTTATCCTTATCCTTCGTCCTTGGTGTGTTAAGCTGTTAATATATATTTTTGTGCACAATACTATCACATATCCGTATTATCAGATGTTCCTTAATTCTATTGATACAAACTTCAGATATGTGGGTTCTGTTCAGTAAGGTAGCGAGCTGTATAGGTTCTTTGTGATGTATCAAATATGGCCTTTAATGGTTACTTAAACACTTAATGCAAATCTGCTATGTTAATCCTGGGAATTTGCTCTGACTTTGATCATAACCCTCGCCATAAACATCGTCTCTGATGAACAGCAATACTACAAACTTTATGTATTCCGCGAAGTAAATGACAAGCTATTGTATTTTCCAGGTCAAACATTTTCATTGAGTTTATAATTTTTCGATTTTCTTGAATTTTGTTTCACATAAAGTTTCGTAATTATATATATCCCGTATTTGTTTCGTCTTTCAGTTGCTACGAGCTTTTAAAAGTCAAGATGTTTCCGGCATTTTGCGCATCAAAGTTACCAACATTGCTGCAGAGAAGCTTCTGGTTACCTTTGAGATTGCAGTGGACAAAGTGAACTCCGGCGGCCGTGACTACCTACAGCGTCAGTACTATCAAGGCTTGACCAGCACAGCCCATAGGGATGATAATGAAGGACTGGTCAAGCTTAGGGGCACAGACTTGATCCTTGGAACCAATGGCAGCATTGCTTGGTATTTGAAACCATTCACCGGTAAGCATTACTGTACCAATATATGATCAGTTGTCATTAGTTAACGTTTTGAAAAAGAGTGTGATTTACAAATACAAAACAAATATTGAACTTGAAATAAGCACTTTATTGACTTCTTGAACACTGAAATATGTCATAACAATCCCAACAAAACATCGGAATCGCTTTTGAACCTTCACTTGTACGGTTCCTTGCATATAGATATGAGGTGTTGCTTTACACCATTGAGTTGAACTATATGTGTGAATCCGGCAATTTACAAACTTTTACACATTGACTGTAACATATATAGATCCCCTAAAACTGATCGCCTTGTTCACGATTGGAATTCAATTTACACCTTCAGGATTTATGCCCAGATGAATGGGTGTGGGACATAAACACTTACCCTTTTTGGCAAACTGTGTCAGTGTCGGGTACTACTGGTATAGCAAGGCATGCTTACCCTTTTATCGAGCACCTTGTGTCGTCACTAATCTTCATCGATCCATTCATGTAATTTTCACCGGTATATTCCTCTTTACATCCAATTGAATCTGTTTCGGTGGATAACCGAGATAATCGTTCGCCGATTTATACAACTGACTGACTGAGTTTAGTTTTACGCCGCTTTTAGCAATATTCCAGCAATATCACGGCGGGGGACACCATTGTGCCCATGGGGGGAATCGAACCCGGGTCTTCGGCGTGACAAGCCAACGCTTTAACCACTAGGCAACCCCACCGCCCGATTTATACAAGCACTTATATAGCGACGTGTAGACCGAGCCGACAAATCCTTGTTTTACATGTGTCTCTTTAATACCAAACGCCAGGCAGAGTAACAACAATTACCATCTTTTAATGTCTTTTGATGTGACGCGGCCGGGGAACGAACCAACAACGGAGGGTGAGGTTTCCGTCTATTTCCGTAGTGTTCCGGCGAGACACGCCAACCGTTATCAAAGTATAAACTTTCGGTGTTGTTTTCAGAAACCAACCACTGTGTAGAACAGGCCCACAACTACTGTGACGTGAATGCTAGGTGTACCCATAAGATGAGATCCTTCACTTGTAGTTGCGACGACGGGTTTGTCGACGTCTCCCCCGACAAGCTACGTAGTCCCGGCGAACGGTGTGCTGGTATGTTAGTTTCTGTACGATCATTTTAGCTTAAAACTGAGACAAAATTTCAACCAACTGAATGTATTATGATGTAAGAATACAACGTCGATGTGAAGACATATACTCAGCTATCAGTAAAGCTATCAGTTTTTCATCAAAATTATAGTAGAGGACGATAGTAATGTAAGCAGCTTAAGATAAATGTAATTTCATTCAATTTAGAAATACGGATAGAAGTGATTAATTACCAATGGGTGCTACCAGAAGAAGAAGACTTACTCCAGTCTTTAAAACAATGCCTGATGCCACTATTTTGCCTTTACTCGTGGAGTTGGTTACGACATGAATACACAATGCCATTTAGAAAGTGGTCAAATGTAACATATGTTATATTAGGGATAACACTTTCTCAGTAAAGTACAGATTCTAGTACTTTTGTTGGTTGAGTCTCATCCGGGATTCGAACCCACATCCTCAGAGTCAGGCACCTAATCGCCAGCACACAAAGTCAGACAAAGTCAGTGGAAGCCGCAGTGGGTGGACGTTAGGCGGCTGACTTTGTGTGCTGGCGATTAAGTGCCTGACTCTGAGGATGTGGGTTCGAATCCCGGATGGGACTCAACCAACAAAAGTACTAAAATCTGTACTTTACTGAGAAAGTGTAATAAAACAATATAACATATGTTGCTTACAGCAGATGATCGAATTTGATTATTCTCATGCGTTGGCGTTTGATATTTACATGGAAGAAGTGTCGGGAAAAGATAAACTAAAGACATATACACCTGGAAAACATCATCATCACAATACAGTGACAATGTCTTCTGGATTATGTTTCAGTCAAATGTCCCTGTCGCAATAACGGTACCTGTGACACTACTAACGGAAAGACTGAATGCCGGTAAGGAAACCCGCCTGTACACACCATACCCACACTAATACCACTCTGTTCATATAACTAATACCACAGATCAGGTTCTGCAGCAGTACAGGGTTTGAGACTTTCAATCAACAATCTGGCCCAGATTTCTCCAAACAAACTTCAAGTTTTTACTCAAATTTCAAACTGAGTTTGACATTAACTCAACTGCATTTTTTAAAATAAAAAGGCCCAAACAACTTCAGTAATCTATCCACCAAACTCAAATTGTCTACTATGTTTGAGTTTAATATCGATTTCAGTTTATTCTGGGAAATGCACTTTCCTGCGTTTTCTAAAATTTGAGTAAAAATTCTAACTTAAGACAAAACTCAGACTTAAGTTTGTTTCGAGAAATTGGGTCCAGATCCTTTATCAAAGTCAAATCTTTTCAAGCTATTTTTGAATATGTTTGATTGTGAGGCTGCTCAGGTTCTAATCTGTAGGGTTGAGATTAGGGGAGTTATCTTGTTCTAGCTATATATGTGCATGTATAGTATGACCAGAAATTATTGAGAATTTTAGGAATATGTTTAATTGGATTTCTAGTATAACAACCTTGACCAGCTATCAAGTGCTTGGTTTCATTCAAGAGAGACAACCCCGTTAATCCTTTTTCATTAGTTTGTGAAGAGTTACCCCCATTTTTTACTTGCTAGCAGACGACATTTTCAGTGATCCTCAGTATGGATGATTTAGAGAAGAGGAAGTTGATTTTAGAGTATTATAACAAGGACATCAGATCAGCTAAAGTGATTTCAAGTAGAACAGGCATCCCGTGTTTTGAAAAATATTGCAAATGGATATGGCATTGAGCACCAGGGAGGCGCAGGTAGGCCCAGAAAATTGACTGTCGGTGACAAGAGGCGGCTTGGTATTCTTGTTTCTAAAAAACAAACGAAAGAGTTTAGAAAACTTAAGGCTGGATATGATTGATAGAGGAGCTGTGGCTGTCTGTAAGGAGACAATTAGAACTGAGCTGCATGCAATGGGTTGGCAGAAAAGTCGAGGAATTCCATCACCGATCATGAAACCTGAACAAAAGGAGCGAAGGTTGAACTGGTTCCTACAGCATACAACTTTTAACTTGGACAATGTGATTTTCTCAGATGAAAGTTCTGTGTGGCTGTATCCTAATACACTGAAATTCTGGACAAAACAAAGTGAAAAACCTTTGTATCAGCGCCCAAAGTACAGTCCGAAATATAACGTGTGGGGTGGCATATCTGTGTTAGGGGCAACGCCCTTTTGTGTATTTGAAGGGAATATGAACAGTGAGCGGTACACAGATATTCTCGAGGGACATTTACTTCCATCTGCTCACGTGTTCTATGGAAATCTTTGGATTTTCCAGCAGGACAACGACCCAAAACATCGTTCAAAGCATTCCCAGGGCTGGTTTCGGACCTAAAATATGACATTATTAGATTGGCCAAGCTATAGCCCTGACCTAAATCCAATAGAAAATGTTTGGGGACTTATGAAGGAGAGTGTCAATAAGAAAAATCTGACAAATATTGCTGAAATGAAAGACGAAGGGGTCCGATATTGGGACAGCATGGACCACGACTTTCTAACTTATTTGATCAGTAGTATGCCCCGCCGCATTGAAGCCTGCATTGCTGCCCATGGTGACGTAACAAAATACTAACTGTTCCCCTGTCTTTGAATCTGGAGTTATGTTCTGCTAATATTCACATTTAATACGTGAGTAATGAGTGAAAGAAAAAAATTACAATCTTTATATTCTCAATAATTTCTGGTTGTACTGTCCTAGAGTTTGTAAGCCAATATTGGGTTTTTACTCAATAACCGCTACTCATGCATTAGATCGTGTGAGAGATACCTGTTTATTTATAGTTATAAACGGTCCTTAACTAGTTTATACCTAACCCCTCGTTTTCATAAAACTTATAACGCTGAAAGGTAAAACCAATTAACATTTGAACATTTATGTCTTATCATGAAATGTTTCTTGAGTGCCATCTCCCATGAGATCTCGCTACATGAAACTGCATCAAAAAGCTAGGCCGAACATTGCGACATCATCAGCTACAATGATGTCACTGTCAAATGACGTCATCCTGCCAACTGGTTAGTTGGGACCGGGGAGCTAATCTACCCCGAAAATTACATGAACGAGGGACAACATGAGACATACTTGTATGTCATACTTGTATATCAACATGTTTATACTAAAGTTACCTCTAACAAAGATTTGTACTGAGAAATGCCTTGTATTACCTTGTCCTTGTATTCTTTCAAGGTGGCCGCAAGGTGCCCGAAATGGTTCATCGGAAGCAACTGTGAAATCAATGGAAAAGGTACAAATTCGCGGACGCTGCTTGTGACAATCTATCTTTTGTACAAAAAGTTTACAGCGCATTGTTTTCGTATTTTAGTTCATGAAGTACCTAATATACTTTATCAGCATAGTTAGGAAATGGGTATTTTATCATTGTAAACGAAATGTGAGAAAACTACGCTTGTAGGTAATAGTTTGTGAACATCTTGCGGTGTGTGAACATCTCGTATAGTGTGTGAGCATTTTCTGTAGTGTGTGTATCTTGTAGAGTGTGTGAGCACCTTCTGTAGTGTGTGTATCTTGTACAGTGTGTGAGCATCTTCTGTATGTGTGTGCATATTGTAGAGTGTGTGAGCATCTTCTGTAGTGTGTGTATCTTGTACAGTGTGTGAGCACCTTCTGTAGTGTGTGTATCTTGTAGAGTGTGTGAGCACCTTCTGTAGTGTGTGTATCTTGTAGAGTGTGTGAACACCTTCTGTTGTATGTGTGCATATTGTAGAGTGTGTGAGCATCTTCTGTAGTGTGTGTATCTTGTTGAGTGTGTGAGCATCTTCTGTAGTGTGTGTATCTTGTAGAGTGTGTGAGCACCTTCTGTTGTATGTGTGCATCTTGTAGAGTGTGTGAGCACCTTCTGTAGTGTGTGTATCTTGTAGAGTGTGTGAGCACCTTCTGTAGTGTGTGTATCTTGTAGAGTGTGTGAGCAAGTGTGTGAGCATCTTCTGTAGTGTGTGTATCTTGTAGAGTGTGTGAGCATCTTCTGTAGTGTGTGTATCTTGTAGAGTGTGTGAGCACCTTCTGTAGTGTGTGTATCTTGTAGAGTGTGTGAGCACACCTTCTGTATGTGTGCATATTGTAGAGTGTGTGAGCACCTTCTGTAGTGTGTGTATCTTGTAGAGTGTGTGAGCACCTTCTGTTGTATGTGTGCATATTGTAGAGTGTGTGAGCACCTTCTGTAGTGTGTGTATCTTGTACAGTGTGTGTGAGCACCTTCTGTAGTGTGTGTATCTTGTACAGTGTTTTGTACATCTTGTGTGTGAGCACCTTCTGTAGTGTGTGTGTATCTTGTACAGTGTGTGAACACCTTCTAGTGTGTGTATGTACAGTGTGTGTGCATATTGTATCTTGAGTGTGTGAGCATCTTCTGTAGTGTGTGTATCTTGTAGAGTGTGTGAGCAGCATCTTCTGTAGTGTGTGTATCTTTGTGTATCTTGTAGAGTGTGAGTACAGTGTGAGCACCTTCTGTAGTGTGTGTATCTTGTAGAGTGTGTGAACACCTTCTGTTGTATGTGTGTATCTTGTAGAGTGTGTGAGCACCTTCTGTAGTGTGTGTATCTTGTAGAGTGTGTGAGCACCTTCTGTAGTGTGTGTATCTTGTAGAGTGTGTGAGCATCTTCTGTAGTGTGTGTATCTTGTAGAGTGTGTGAGCACCTTCTGTAGTGTGTGTGTATCTTGTACAGTGTGTGAGCATCTTCTGTAGTGTGTGTGTATCTTGTACAGTGTGTGAGCACCTTCTGTTGTGTGTGTATCTTGTACAGTGTGTGTGAACACCTTCTGTAGTGTGTGTGTATCTTGTAGAGTGTGTGAGCACCTTCTGTTGTGTGTGTATCTGTAGTGTATCTTGTAGTGTGTGCGCATCTTCTGTAGTGTGTTTATCTTGTAGAGTGTGTGAGCATCTTCTGTAGTGTGTGTATCTATCAGTGTAGAGTGTGTTAGCATCTTCTGTAGTTTTGTATGTGTGCATATTCTTGCAGTGTGTGTGTATAGTTAGTGCACATTTTGTGGTGTGTGAAAACGGTTTTGTTTTGGGTGTGTGAATAGTTTGTTTTGTGTGAACATCGAGCTGTGCGTGCACATGGTTTGTAAACAGTGTGTGAACATCTTATGGTAGGAAAGCATTTGTGGGTGGGTAAGCTTAATCATCCTGTTTCGTGTGAACATATTGAAGTGTGTATTTTTTCATGTGTGTGCATCTTGTATTGTGTGAGCGTCTTGTAGCCTTTGCTTCTGTTATATGGTGCGAGGGTCTGTGCTTGTGTGAACATTTTGAAGTATGTTAAACTTTTTTAAACTGTGAGTTTCACAGTTACATTTTCCAGCTATGATGTATAGTGACATTTCGTCCGTTTGAGAATTTAGAGCCTAAAGGTTGTTTAAAAACATAATCTAATTTACAAAACGCACTTTCCTAAAAAAATATCTTTCTATTGTTTCTTTGCAGATTGTTATGACAATTCTGCTGACATAGTGTCAATCACTGCTTAGGTCAGGCATAATTTCGCAGTCTAAACTTTCATTTAAAAAAGTTAAAACCTGTCGATCCGTCTGCTCAGTGTGGGTGTGAATGGTTTGTTTATCGGATGGCATGTTAATTTGACAACTTGCAGAAAGACAAATGTCGACCCCACGACATAAATCATTACCATCCTTGAAATAACCGGATGTTTATGTTTGCTCCAGACCTGCTCATCATCTGCTGTAGTGTTCTCGGGGGGTTATTGGTCCTGACCGTCCTCCTGTGTCTCGTCTGCATCTGTGCTGTCAAAAACAGGTAAGACTGGGGCAAACAGCGTTTTTTATTAATAAATAAATAAATAAATACATACATACATACATACATACATACATACATACATACATACATACATACATACATACATACATACATACATACATACATACATACATACATACATACATACATAAATACATAAATAAATAAAATAAACCTCCTGTCTTTGGGGTCTACATTTCACTTATTCCAGAAACAGTCGAGCATCCTCTTTCTACGCAAATTTAGAATGTCATCCGATTCTTGCTCAAACATCGTTTGATCAGGGTTACAGTATTCAAGGCCTTAGTTTAGCTAATATGTTTAATGGTAGAGGGCAGGATCCTTGTAGCTTTTTAAGTGAACAATTGACTTACCTTTGCATGTGTCTGTGTGTCCGGAAGGGCAGGATAGTCTCATGCTACCCAGTATAATCACTATTTGATACTGATTCGTGTACACACTACACATGGTCATGATTTATGTCGGGATAGAATGATAATGACTTCTTATGCTAATAGAGACCGCCTCCGTGGTGTAGTGGTTAGAGCGTCAGCCCGGAGAGCGGAAGGTCGCGGGTTCGATCCCCGACCGCGTCATACCAAAAGACGTTAAAATATGGTACTTGTTGGTCCCTGTCTGGAGTTCGGCATTAATGGGTACAACAAGGACTGGTCGGCTCGGAGTCAGTATAATGTGTCTGAGTGGGGTATTCATGCTTCACTGCGGCGTGGTATCTCAGTGGTCTAGCACTATAAAAAAGCTTAAGTCTGGGCTAGTACAAGCAGCCGCACATACACATACACACGCATGCACGTCGTCATATGAGCGAAATATTCTCAAGCACGACGTTAAACCCAATTTCACCTCACCTCACCTCACCTCTTATGCTAATGGAAGGATTTTGTAGCTTTCATTCAGCATTACAAATGTCGACCCAATTATTTGCTGACAAAGTCACGAGTGTATCCACAACTTACATATTATGTTCTAGAAAATCCAGCCGGTCCAGCACTGTTGGAGTTGGAAGTTTGGACACCAGTGTGGTTAAACTGCCCCGTGTGTGGATGGACGGGACACGCCCATATGAACTACCCCCAGGGACATGAGAAGATGGAGCTATGTGTCAGAGCCTATACGATACGTGGATGAATATGTAAGTGTGTCTTAGTAATCACCGTATATGTATACCTTCTTAAAGAAGAAAGGTATGACACTTTATGGATAACAAGTTCTTTATTATATTTCCTGTGAAGATCCGGGTTAGAATTGATCTTCAGTAACCCATGCTTGTCTAAGAGGCGACTAACTGAATCGGGTGGTCAGGCTCGCTGACTTGGTTGACACATGTCATCGGTTCCCAAATGCGTAGATTGATGCGCATGCTGTTGATTACTGGATTGTCTGGTCCAGACTCGATTATTTACAGACCGCGGTATAGCTGGAATATTGCTGAGTGCGGCTCACTCACTCACTCACTCTGTATTATATTATGATGCAACGCTTCGACTCCTGCTTGACAACGGTATAAGAATCTATAAGGGGGGCATCATAATATTATATAGAAGTTGTTATCCACAAAGTATCATTCCTTTCTTATTATTCATCAACTTCATCAACTTCTAAAATGTCAATCAAACAGTTCTTAAAGACAGCCAATGAGTCATACTAATAGTTAGCCTTTCAACTATACGCTTTACACTGTAAAATCTATAATGCTGGGGGAAAATGCATGTACGCATGTTTCATGATGGCTGAAAAAGGCAAAAAGAAGAAATCGTTATTCGATAATTGTTATTTGATAATTGTGTTGTGCAGTGTTTTTTAGGTGGCGACTGTTTTTCAACATAAAAACGTTTTCATGGCGTTCGTACTTTTGTCAAATCTACATTTTAAGTGCATTTTTTGTCACGACAGTGTATAATTTTGAAAGAAGCATCTACATTTAAATTGAAAAGGTGCCACAGTAAAATGGGAGTTTCAGACAATCTAGACTTGCATCATTTGGGGATGGAGCATAATCCGAGCATTACAGACAGTAAAGGTGGGGGGCGGCCTAAAACTATATTCACTCACTGTCAGTTCGGCACGTACATATCAAGCTTGATCGCTCTATGGTTTTGGTCTCACGTTCTCCTCGCCCTGTATTTTCCTGCTGCTGATGGTGTTGTTGTTGTTTCAGATGATGGATGACTATGTTCATGCCGAGACGCTGCCCCTGCCGCGGTCACACGACGCCAAGAAAAGGTTCTACCCTGCATACGGGGTAAATAAACAACTGAATACTTCACTGGACTTGACCACTGTCTCCTTCGTCTGTCTCACTCACACAATCCCTCAATAACTCGACCTCATCTCACTACTTTCTTCTGTCACTCACTCTTCCCCTCAACGGGCGGTGGGGTAGCCTAGTGGTTAAAGCGTTGGCTCGTCACGCCGAAGACCCGGGTTCGATTCCCCACATGGGCACAATGTGTTAAGCCCATTTCTGGTGTCCCCCCGCCGTGATATTGCTGGAATATTGCTAAAAGCGGCGTAAAACTAAACTCAGTCAGTCAGTCTTCCCCTCAACGAAATCTACTGCTAGGCCACCTTCTTCACTGAATCATTCACTCAGCCATTAACTCACTCAACCAATACCTTTTCCTCTTCTTCTTTCACCCTCACATCCAAGGCACTAGTTCAGTCCCTCCAACACCAGCAAAGTCCCCCGTCCTCACTCTAGCGATCCTTGTCTATCACCCCATCTCTGGAAAACTCACTCACACAATCAACTATTCCCTCCATCCCATCCAAGCACGTTATCCCGTTAGTCACAAGCATCGATCGCTTAAGACCAGTTCTAACCTAGATCTTCACGAGGGAGATTCCAAACTAACAGTTAAGCTGTTTAATCATTAAACTTCCTTCATGCTTAGTTCTCGTTTATTAAACAAAATATTTCTATTTCAGAACCAGGCCTACAGTAGCTCAACATTAAACATCCGTCCAGCCTCAAGACATTAGGTGCTGACCACTCTACCCAATTCAGTTTGCAGTTTGAATGAAAGATGCTACTGTCTTGACCGCAAACCCAAACAATCTTAAATCAGAGACCTTATAATAGATTATATGGTCTCTGCTTAAATTCACTTTCTTACTGAACGAGAGACAATCTGGTAAGTAGGAGTAATCTCCCTCCCAGAAGACTATGAAACCGTTTTAGTTTTTCTGTCAGTGTAGATCACAGCGCCTTTAAATCATCTCTTCAAAAGCCAATGACTGAATCTATCATTAATAGTACTCATACCCACAGGGGCTTGTAACGCTAAAAACTGATATCAAGGTATATACTGTCACTGACGGGGTCTTAGTACTATATAAAAGGCCTTTTATATAGATCTAACACCCCGTCGGTGACAGTATATATATCTTGATGGCAGTTTTTAGCCTCTTATAACTACTAGTATATAAAAGGCCTTTTATATAGTACTAAGACCCCGTCAGTGACAGTATATACCTTGATATCAGTTTTTAGCGTTACAAGCCCCTGTGACTCTACCAACACAAAACCACTCTGCACCCTTAACGCGCCTCATATGCAACCTGTCTCATTAACGATAACGCTTTTTAATGTTCACAGTGAACAGGCATCAGTGGAAGGGGGATAACTCTTGAACGATGGTCTCTCAATTTGTCCGGTTGTGAAACAAAACGTGTACAGTTTTTAGAAGGAGCATTAAGAAATGACAATCACTGACGTAATCAATACATATTCACACATATATTTTTACTCAGATGTGTAAATGCTTCCAGATGTTCCTCTCATAGTGATCAAGCTGTTAGCGCTGTATATCCAGAAACAAACATATCCTGACTGACTAATAATAATATCTTGTCATTTAGACAAGTCTAACCATCAATGTGAAACATCTGTTTATAGAGTCAGGAATAGAAACTTTTAAAAGGGGTTAAAATCTGTAAATCGGACAATATCCTATTTTGGTTGATTGTGAACAAGTCAAGAATATTAATATCCCGTATCTGACGCATGATACGTAATACGTTTAAATGTAAACCCCTTTTCGGCAACGCGCTCTTTGCACATTACGTCACATAACAATTGATGTAACGAAGTCAGCGATTGGTCAAAGCAGCGTTTTGATACACGTCCATTATAACGCTACTGCCTAACGTATATGTACGCACTATGCAGAATGGCTGTATACGACAGACACGATGGCGATATAATATTTCTATTTATACGTTTATAGCTTTGTAAATACATCTTTACCGTTTGATTACAGCATTTGTATAGAGCCTGTAGACTTGAGTAGAACCAGGCGGTGTTCAACATTGTTTGTATTTCAATACATCTGCTGTTTGTAAGATACTCATGTACATAGACCGCATACTTTATAAACAGTTTGAATATCATCAAGATTTGTACTTTTTATAGACCATGTATTTTGTAATGTTTAATCGTTGTGAAATCCGGGGTATTTACAGTTAGGATCACTCACCATTCCACGTTTTAAACGTCTAAATTGAATGAACGTAAAGCTACAAAACCCTCTCCAAGACATCTCTTAAGGCAGAGACAATAGTACAATTCCGACTATATCATGAGCTTGTGTGATACCAGGCTATAGCTATTCTCGAAACGTTCGTAGCCTTACGAACTTATTAAGCCTTATTCTTAACACATTGGCTACGATCAAAGTTAAGAACTCTTAGGACTACGAACGTTTCGAGAATAAGGGCACTGTTCCCCATCGATGGACGTCATAAACAAATGTAAAAGCTAGTCAATTATTTACCTGAAAAATATTCGGTATAATGGTGTAAGTCAAAATAGGTTATTGCATCAGGGACCACAGAAGCTGGCAAATACCATTGCAGCATCACGTGATCGCACCATCATGTCCATGTTTACTACTTTAATGACCTGATGCCTAAAATGCAAGTAAAAATATACATATCAAGAACTTCCACAGTTAAGGGGGCGGTGGGGTAGCCTAGTGGTTAAAGCGTCCGCCCGTCACGCCGAAGACCCGGGTTCGATTCCCTTCATGGGTACAATGTGTGAATCCTTTTCTGGTGTCCCCGTGTTATTGCTGGAATATTGCTGGAAGCGGCGTAAAACCATACTCACTCACTCCTTTGTTAAGATTTCAACTTCTATTCAAATAACAAATAATGTATTATTTTTCTTCTCGTTCTCTTCGAAACATTTATCCCGATAAACCTTTCCTAAAATCCGTAAATTATTGAGCTGGGCTTTGAAACGGGATTACATAGATGGAAAAGAAACTGTTAATTATATTATTTTTATAATTGCTATTCAATCACTTGAAGTTGACTAGATATAAACACGTGCCGTGACAAGGTATAGTAGATTCTTAAGGGTAGTTGTTCTCCATTTCATGTTAATGTTCACGAGTAGACAAAATGGGAGTAGTCATAATGGTAAGATAACCGGGACAACAGGTCAACATGTTTGTCATTGACAAGAAGAAATGTCATTTCAAAGAAATATCCATTCCTGTACCCGTATGGGAAACAAAGAAATTAAATCTTTTGTTAACAAATGCTTCTTGTAACTCATTTACTCACTAACCATCACTACAATGCCCATATATGCCTATGCCTGCATATTGCCTTGTTTTGTAATGTGTTTGTACATATTTCATACATATGTTCTCGAAATAATTCCTTTATATGCACTACATATGTGTAGTGATGGTAAATATGGAAAATAAACATTTCAAGGAATGTATAGTTGACTCTCAGCATTTTATATGCCTTAACACATCTTACAGCAAGATGGCAAGTAAGACGTCCAGACATCATTCTGGAGACAGAAAGTGCTGTGTACAGATATGGCGGTCAAACACTTGTGTTTAATAATAATAACTTTAAGCCACTTACTGTCACGGATATTACCTTATGAGTTCATGCCCCAGAATGTTCTCAGTTCCCTCAAGATAGATCCCTACTGTATTAGAATAATCAGTTGTCGACCATTTATAATTGTATGACTGTAGTTTATCAACAAGTTCCTTCGTTATGGTAGTTGCAGGTTCTCCTGTCTCATCTTGCGGTCTCTTTCTTTCCGCTTTGAATTTCTCTGATCGCCTAACAGTGGGAAAGAAAGGAACATAATTCCTTACAGTTGACAGGAATGCGTGGCTATTGGAGACTGGGTGACAGTGTCAGAGACAAGTGTGTTTCAATCAACAAAAAACACCTGGTCATTTTGATGCCTTCAGAAATATGCTGCCTGGTACAGTAGTAGTTTATTTCGGTAAATCAGGCCATAGGCCCATTTTACAATGCTGCCTGCTTGTGTATTTGATTCAAATACCGACTCTAAACAAAAAGTACGTATAATACATACACAGACAGGACATTACACATATTAGTAATGCTCAGAACGTTTCAGCAATCCCACGTCTTGCCACAACTAATTCGTGAAAATCAGGGTTAGAACTGATCTTCAGTAACCCATGCTTGTCGTAAGAGGCGACTAACGGGATCGGGTGGTCAGGTCGCTGACTTGGATGACACATGTCATCGAATCCCAATTGTGTAGTACGATGCTCATGTTGATCACTGGATTGCCTGGTCCAGACTCGCTTATTAATATATGGAAACTATAAAGCTGGAATATTGAGAACAGCGTTAAACAACAAACAAAGACTACATACAGGGGATGGAGAGAATGATGAATTTGTTGTCAACAAAAATCACAAAGAGAAGAAAAAACGTTTAATTATCGATTATGATTTCCGTGACAATATATTGGTAAACTAAACAATGTTTTTCATTTAATTTTAACTTGCGAACCAAAACATATAAATACTTCTCCATTTGGTCAGATGAGCCTTCCCCGACCGCGTCATACCAAAATACGTTAAAATATGGTACTTGTTGGTCCCTGCCTGGCGCTCGGCATTAACTTCATGGGTACAACAAGGACTGGTCGGCTCGGAGTCAGTATACTGTGTCTGAGTGGGGTATTCATGCTTCACTGCGGCATGGTATCTCAGTGAGCTAGCACTATAAAACCAGCTTAAGTCTGGGCTAGTACAAGCAGCTGCACATACACATGCACACGCCTGCACGTCGTCATATGAGCGAAATATTCTCAAGCACGACGTTACATCCAATTTCACCTCACCTCACCTCAGATGAGCCACACTTCATTAACAAACAAGCTTGTAAAAAGTAAACTCACTCCACGGCAGGCAATAGTTGATGCTTCCACCAGATGGATGGGAACACGTGTAATATAACAGTAAAAACAGTATGTTCAAAAACGCCAAAACCACAACAGTAATCAAGCCCCCAACGTGGAACCATTCTCCAACATTGGTGGGATGCAGAAACCAGACCGTCATCATGGCAACATTTTCAACGTAAAATATAATGTAAAATAACAAAACCCTACACCTTGAATGACCTTTTTTGAGGCTTAAGAAGCAAAATACCATGGGAAAGCCACAAATGACGTCAAAAAGCTTATCAAGTCGTGGACTGTTTTTGTAGAAATGTGTTCCCTGGCACATGAGCCAGACAGACATGAGGAACCAATGGATTCCTACAGGGACTAACACACTCGCGTGGAAGGAAGATGCGAACAGAGAAATGCAAAGAACGCGCGTCCCCAACTCACTTGCCCGCCATATTAAATAGAAGGGGATGGATCTAAACGTCATTGGCTTGAAACCATCTCGAGCCCTGGAGCACCTGACAGATCGGTGATAGAGCATCAGGTTCATTGTCGTGGACATCCAGGAGGAGAGTGCTCCTCCAGCCCGTAATGTCACTGCAACAGAGGACAATCATCTATGCATCCCGTTATGGCATGTACCCAGCCTACAACCAGGGAATCATACACATGTAGCGTTGTCCCAAAAAAATACTACAAAAAATACTATAATGTCATTACATACCTACTGTTCTGTCATATACACGATATAGGACTTAGTCATGTACAAGACATACTTACAGTACAACTAGAAATTATTGAGAATTTAAGATTGTAAATGTTTTTATTTTTTTCACTCATTACTTACGTATTAAATGTGAATATTACCAGAACAGAACTCCATATTCAAAGACAGGTGAACAGTTAGTATTTTGTCAAGTCACCATGGGCAGCAATGTAGGCTTCAATGCGGCGGGTCGTACTACTGATCAAAGAAGTTGGAAAGTCGTGCTCCATGCTGTCCCAATATCGGACCACTTCGTCTTTCATTTCAGCAATATTTGTCAGATTTTTCCTGTGAATGCTTTGAACGATGTTTTGGGTCGTTGTCCTGCTGGAAAATCCAAAGATTTCCATAGAACACGTGAGCAGATAGAAGTAAATGTCCCTCGAGAATATCTGTGTACCGCTCACTGTGCATATTCCCTTCAAATACACAGAGGGGCGTTGCCCCTAACACAAATATGCCACCCCACACGTTAAATTTCGGACTGTACTTCGGGCGCTGATACAAAGGTTTTTCAGTTTGTTTGGTCCAGAATTTCAGTGCATTAGGAAACAGCCACACAGAGCTTTCATCTGAGAAAATCACATTGTCCCAGTTAAAATTTCTATGCTGTAAGCACCAGTTCAACCTTCGCTCCTTTTGTTCAGGTTTCATGATCGACTTTTCTGCCAACCCATTGCATGCAGCTCAGTTCTTATTGTCTCCTTACAGACAGCCACAGTTCCTCTATCAGTCATATCCAACCTTAAGTTTTCTAAACTCCTTCGTTTGTTTTTAGAAACAAGAATACCAAGCCGCCTCCTGTCACCGACAGTCAATTTTCTGGGCCTACCTGCGCCTGCCTGGTGCTCAATGCCATATCCATTTGCAATATTTTTCAAAACACGATAAACAGTGGACAAAGGGATGCCTGTTCTACTTGAAATCACTTTAGCTGATCTGATGTCCTTGTTATAATACTCTAAAATCAACTTCCTTTTCTCTAAATCATCCATACTGAGGATCACTGAAAATGTCGTCTGCTAGCAAGTAACAAAGGGGGATAACTCTTCACAAACTAATGAAGAAGGATTAACGGAGTTGTCTCTCTTGAATGAGACCAAGCACTTGATAACTGGTCAAGGTTGTTTATACTAGAAATCCAATTAGACATATACCTAAAATTCTCAATAATTTCTGGTAATACTATATATGTTTGTTAAGCCAGACCATTATGTCCTCCAAACAGTGTGCGAAATAGCCACTGGCCCGCTAGCCCGTGGCTAGTAAAAATTCAGTCGGGCCAGTAAATCTCCAGTCACTGGCCTGACTGGCTAGTGAAATTTCATGGGATAAATTTTTAGATCGGATAGAGTATATCACTCTATCCGACTTGTTAAGTTATAATACACTTTTAAATAATGTAAGATTATGGCCTGATAAATGATGGTGTTTTACCTTTTTGAAATCCTTTGCTAATGCTATACTTTCAAATTTCGGGCTAGTGAATTATTTTGTTGGCTTGTATCTTTCAGGCATAGCTAGCCCGACTCGCTGGCAAAAGTTGGAAACTATTTCGCACACTGCATCCAAAACCTACCATTATGTCATACTCTTCTATGATGTTATTTATGCGCCCTATTCCCTCATCGTCTACAATTATTTCATCTATAGACCCATCTACATATCAACCTATTACACTATCTATATATTTTACCATTATGTCATCTTCATACCGGGGCGGTGGGGTAGCCTAGTGGTTAAAGAGTTCGCTGGTCACGCTGAAAGACTGGGTTCGATTCCCACATGGGTACAATGTGTGAAGCCCATTTCTCGTATCTCCCGCCGTGATATTGCTGGAATGTTGCTAAAAGCGGCGTAAACCAAACTCACTCACTCATCTTCATACCCTTCTTTTACGTCATAGTCATACCCTATTGTTAATTCACCGACATGCACAACTATATACCCACCTACATACACATTTCCACATTTGTGAAATTTTTGGTCAAGTTTATATACCATGTCGAAACCTGCTCGAAGAGAAATATAAGTGCATTGATTCTCCATGCTTACATCCCAGCACGTCTTCCTCAGGTTTCAGTGTGATCCACACATAGAGCTGCCAGGTGAGTTGTGGAACTGACTCCAGGAAACTCTCAAACAGCTGCAGGAGACAGACATTCACATCTTGGCACATGGCCCGCCAGTAGTAGATCTTCTTCCTCTTATGCCCCTCCTTCTTCTCCTCGTTCTCCTTCGTGTTTGTATGCATGAACTTGAAAACACTGTTTAAATACTCGGAAATCCTGAAACAGTGGAAGTGAACTACAAATGATGACTGGATTGACTTATGTTCATTGTAGTTTTATCTTTCGAATGGTAGCTCTTACATGCAAAATGTTCACACAAAATATCATCGAAATCGGTGTAAAATATCTTTTTCACTAACTTTTCAAATGTGGTCGATTTCGAAGTGAAGGTTTATATGCCTATAATGTAAAGACACTGTTTCGGGCCTCCCCTTCCACAGCGACGTGCCGTGCTGGGATGTATCTGGAATGCTGTTCTAAATGGGGTTGAACTTCATGTTTTTTTCGATGCTGATGGCTCGAAGACAGAACAACTTCTGATGTAAAAGACTTCTAATATATCAGTAACCGATTTGAGGATAAAACCGTTAGCTCGTCAGGTCGTAGTTTAGTCAGGATTTATAACTTCACATGACACTCATAAGAAATATATAATAATAATGGTTATTCATAAAACGCCTGTTTCCACACACCTCATGGTGCTCAAGATGCTAACACATTATTACCACGGATAACCCATTCTGCGAGGCGCTAGACGGTTAACAGGTTATCCCCACCGGGTACCCATTCACTGCTGGGTTAACAGGCAATTTATGAACAAACTCACTTGCCTCACGTGGCATGATTCAGCCGTGCAGAGTTACAGTATCAGTCGTTGATGAGTGTCAGACACGAATGAAGACTCCACAAACGGACAACGTCAAGTCAAAACATTGATTACACAAGTCTCGTTTCCTGTTGACTGGGTCCCGTCCTATTGCGCAACTCAGTACAATAACCAGTCCAGAATTTTGGGACCAATTCATTTAACGGGATACATAATTATTAATCAGTATTATTTGATACATCTAAGCACTTGTATATTGCAACACTACGCTCATTCTAATCCTTGCAAACACGTCGTGCAGCTGCTCTGTCGTACAGCGAGCTCTGACAATCGGAAACCTGGAAATCGTGCAAATCTCAAGACGAGGCTCACCCGCTAGAGTTTGGCGGTCTGGTACGGACTTGATATTTTATCAATCACATTGTGCGTTACAGAACTACACTGAATAAGCGCAAAAAACACATAACAGTAACCAGTGTGCCAGATGCATTGTGAATCATTTTACGACCTCATCAAACAGGGGCAGTCTGTGACGTCTTTGTTAAGGTCATTCTGCCTACACCTCGCCACAAAATATAGAAATACGATGTTATTAAAGTTTAAAAAAAACAAGAAATTGGAATTCAGTGTAACCATAGTTGTTTGTAGTGTCTCTTTTCACTTTCACACGAGAAAATTCGGATCGGCTGAAAAGTAGGTCATTGTCTGAATAGGTTAATGAGACTCATGTTTCGGTTTGTGATTCAGTTAACAGACACTATGAGATCTGAAGTAATTATTTAACAATCATATTTACATGCCTTATGATCATTCCAAATTGTAGAAGTGTCACTGTGAACCTTATAGGCCATAGATAAGCTGGTGTCAGCAACTCTCTCACTCGTCCAAGCATACAGGGATCTGTATCGTGTTTGGCTTCAACCAGTGCCATCTGTTCCTTCTGGTAGTCCAGGACATACCACGTGAGACCGAGTCCACACATCACCAGTGATGGCACAACAATTAATACTACTGTCACAGACCCATGCAACAACTGGCCTCCCATGAAATACTTCACAGCCATCCATATGTCAGTTCCCACATCGGAAACATAAAATCCAATCGCCAAAAATCCAAAAAATGCTTCCAACTTTCCAAATTTGGGTGTAAACCGTTCTTCGTGTTCCGGCTCTGCAGCAATACGTTCTATCGGAAACTCACATGGCTCCATGCCAATATCCACAACATCCTCCGAGATGTGTGTTTCTCCATCCCTTTGATCAGGCCCGAACAGATAAGTATAGGGTGTGACGCTCCCGCTCCTGCTTGAGAAAGGTATGTTTGACATGACCATAACGTCTTCGCTTCTGTCGGGTGATTCCATGACGCTTCGAAGTGTCACTCAGAACCACTCGGTTTGTTCCGTTATCGGATTAACGAATAATACACAATCAAAAGGAAGTCATGGTTTCAGTTAACCAGGGTCCAGACAGACAATTTTGCGCATTTGTCACACTCGCCCCTTTCCGTAACCTCCAAGAATGCTTGTCCCGGAAAAGCACGAGTGGGTCACGAATGAATTTTGCGTTGAATCTGGAATGCTCAGGCACTGCCGACGTTACTGCAAAATGCCTCTAGTAGTTAACCGAATCCAAACGATTTAGCCTCAGCAGAACGTACTTAATAACAAGAGCCTTTAGTAAAGAAACACTATGAATCACACTGCAGCAACGTGTTAATAATGTTGAGGCCTGCGTAATCTACACGTATAACCCTAACCCGCCCCCTCACTGCGGGTGATTCACTAGTAATAACAAAGGAAATACCCAAACCGCTGGTGTCTATGTCTCAGCAGCAGGGTCGGCGTGAACCTCCCTTGGACGTTGTCACCTTTACATGTAGAGACCCGCAAACGTTTGACTAAATTATACAACCACTGCAGTTGACATGTATTATGTAGTATATTTCCGTGTATGCGTGGTGTGTGCCAGTGAATAGTATCGTGTTGTGTTGTATCTATATCTCGGATTACCGTATTTCCCATACACCCCGTTCGACTTCAGGACAGATAACTCCTCAGCTATTGTCCGGGCTTCGCTACGATTGTCACACGTCTACAGTACGTTTGATTAAGATCAGCTTAGCATAGCTGAAATATATCTGTAGAACAGCCCTGCTGCATGCACGATTACGGAACATACTTGTGGTTTGTTAATTTGCTTTTAACCCTGCACTCAGCAATATTCCAGCTATATGGCGGTGATCTGTAAATAATCCGGTCTAAACCAGACAAGTGATCAACAGCATGAAAATCTATCGACGCAGTTTGAATAGGGTACGTGTTAACCAAGTCAGTTAGCCTGACCCTCGATCCGTTCGTTGTCTCTTACCACAAGCATGGGTTGCTGAAGACGAATTCTAACCGGGATCTTCATGGGTAGAGGATTGCAACAAGTCTTACTGCATGTAGATAGTGTGTCATGATGTTGGTCTCCATGTGAGTCCCAATGTCCAGGGTATTTTGTCACCTCTAACAACGTGCACAGGTTGGTATGATCCTTTTCTAACCTGGAGGGATTCTACTGATCCGGTGACTGTGGTGGCTGGGCGGATACAGCTTTTTGAGAAAGGGGTGGGTGGGGCAGTACATTTCATTTTCACCCAAGTTTCAATGGTCATTTAACAAACTTTCAGCACCAAAGGGGTGGTGTGCACCCTGCACCCAACAACACACACACACACACACACACACACACCGGATCCGCCTATGACTACTAATAACAGAGACACAAGGAATCAAGGTGTAGAAAACAGGTTTATTACTTACAAACTTGTACATAACACTACAAGTTGTCAGAATTATATTCACATGCTTTCAAGCTCAAGATACATAAAATGTATAAAAATAGTGTTCATACCATTTCATGAAAACAATTTGTCGAAAACTTCAGTCTTCTATGTACTGCAAAACTATTTATAAAATAGTTCCCACTATAACCATTTATATAACCTTTCCTTTCACGTCTCTGTTTATTTGTTCTCCTAAACAATCAAGTGTACAAACAGGTAACAGGTCGATACAAAGATGAAACACTGATGTTATTACCAGGATTATTCAAATATTTCTACAAAACCAAAATTCTTTTGAGGTATAAGAATGAATGAACATTATCTCCTAGGGTGCCTATTCAGAAAATATTTCTTCTCCCAAGTTATATATATCTGTGTTTAGGAGACCAAAACATGGTCAATATAATGCTGACCACATATCCTCAATCATTAATGCATGCAATTAATCATGATCAAATGGTTCTGGGTGATCACAAGATTCCCAGTGATATATCAGTCATCTACTGAGAGCTTAACAAATGGTGAAGGCCATAACTTATCCTACAGACTGGTTTTGTCTGTATTTGCTTTGTGGCACCTTCCTACAGACTGGTTTTGTCTGTATTTGCTTTGTGGCACCTTCCTACAGACTGGTTTTGTCTGTATTTGCTTTGTGGCACCTTAATGGTGGATTATGTAACAATCTATTCTGGCCCATTTCAAGTGACTGCTGTACAGGATTTCACTTTGTTTTACAGACAAACACAAAAAGTAATGAAAATACATGCAATATACCACAGAGTCCTTCTATTCATGATTATAGTTTATATTTCAAGGCTGGTGGGTATTTCAAGTGTTGTTGTCTTTAACTTGTTGACCTGCTTCAACATCTTCAAATATCAAACACTTTACAAGAAATGGACATGTGATCTTACAGAGAAAACATACAAAGAATCAAAATCTTGGAGAATGACAATGTCATCTAAAGTGAAATATATGTTTGATTAGAGTCATGAAGCATTCAAATTGGAACTTTCATGAAAATATCTTGAAGAATCAACCATTGCTTTTTAGACCATTGAGCCTTGGATTACTGAAAATTATTGCTGGAGATGGCACCGAGACTTATCACTAAGTCATCATACAGTTTGAAGTACAACATACAATCGTAATACAATCTTGACAATGCATCTTTACATATATCGTTGCTAAAAAAATTTACTAAGGAGCTTTCATGCATTAAAATATTCATAACAAGAAGACAAAGTCATCAATATCCCCCGCGATGGCAAAATACTCTACATATGTCTACGAGTTACTATGTCAAATGTTTTGGCATGTATATAACTAAGTGGAAGGAGAGTACTGAAAGGTTTCAAAGTTCTGCTCCGGCAAAGAGCACTACCACCAATTTCAGTCTAAGTCAAACTTGTTGCAATGGAAACGAAAAAAATATTTTATTCAGAAATCCAAATCTACCAAAAGGCACTAGTAGACCATCAGATCTATCTATGTGCCAAGTTTGGTGAAGAAACATTGAATGGTTTTAGAGTTATGCTCCGGAAAAGACAAATGTGCACGGACGCACGGAAGGAGTGCATTTTAATAACCCCGCAAAACGCGTTGCTGGGGATAATTACAGATCTAGGTGTCTAGTGAAAATGCAAAATTAATACATGTAGGTTACATTTTAAAACTGTTAGGTTGGTTGGTTTGTTGTTTAACGCCACACTGAGCAGTATTCCAGCTATATGGAGGCGGTCTGTAAATCATCAAGTCTGGACCAGACAATTCAGTGATCAACATGAGCATCGTACTACACAATTGGGATACGATGACACATGTCAACCCAGTCAGTGAGCCTGACCACCCGATACCATCAGTCCCCCCTTACGACAAGCATGGGTTGCTCAAGACCTATTCTAACCCGGATCTATACAGGTAAAACTATTAGGTGTTCACTATTTTGGAGGTAGATAAAACATGAGATAATATTGCTTATATTTAGGAGGGTACCATTCTCTTAAGGCATTGTGGTATTTGACTTTGTAACACATAAAATCTTGGTTAACATACTTCAGGCATTAATATTAAATTGCCCCAATATAAATAATTATTCAAACAATAACAGCAGTTCTTGTAACTATATGTCAATCAATCATACATATCGACACAGCAAGGTTAATGATAAAATCTGTCCTGACTCTATATTTAAGTATTGGAGTTAACAACATCTTAGTAGTAAGATCCTCGTAGGAAAGGAGAAAAGCTTAGGAACCGTTAATAATGTATGGCTAGGGGTTGAATATAGTGCACATGGACTAGAGGGGGTGTCATTGATGATGTAAGTGCCATGCAAGGGGGGTCACTTACTCTGTACATACATTTAAATTTTTTTCATTTTTCATTTATTTTATTTTTTATATTTTTTTGGGGGGGGATGGGGGGGGGGTGTCATTCACATTGTTAATGCTTCTCCACAAAAATCATCAAGACCCCTAGGCATATATTACTAACAGTCCCTTAATTTCATCCAACTTTATTAAATAAATACAAGAGTTTGATTTTGACCTCTTTTGCAACACCCAGGCATGGGGCTGATAAACCAAGTAACATCAACAGGAATTTGAACCAATCACCTTAAGTTTCTGGCATGCCTAAGGGAAGCAACTCTGTTAACACAAATTGTACCACCTTAGATTCCTTGACCACTCAGGCCTTCATACATATGACAGTGGACTAAACAAACGTAACCATTGTCACTGATATAATATATATTTTCTTAATACATAGTAAACAGACTTGACAGACAGCAGCTGCTGCTACTCCATGTTGGGAGAAGCAGGAATTCATTGGCGATATATACTACCCATCAAAAGTTTAGACTCACTGAAAACATTCACTATATGTTATGTATGTATATATGGTTACAACGAAAATGAATTTCTCCACTAACTTGGGGGAAACAACTGCAAATCTTATGCAGATTAATTGCACGAGGATCATGGATCAAGCTGCTGAAACGTATATGCAAATATCATGCATGTGAACAGCTGCGTTTTGGTGTAAAGTTTTGATAAGAATTCGCCAATTTTAACTGAGTTTCATAATTTATTGAACGCATGACAATAATCTTTTCAACGGTATGAATTTGTTTTACAATACATCAGTTCATGTATAAACAGCACCTTTAAACAGTATGGAATATTTTGCAAAATTTAGTTTAGAACAGTTGCCTGAAGTAAGTGGCTACATGTACACTAGTGAGTCTAAACTTTTGATGGGGTGTATATGATTAATTAATGACTCCTTGTACACATGACTGTAATCAAATTTGTAAAAGTCATACAAGTTCTTTTTACCTACAGTATTTATCTACACACTATTAACAGCAACCGTGACTTCATGGTTTGATTTAACCCCAGGATAACCCAGCAGAAAACTTGTTGAACTTTTGCATTTATTATTCTGGTCGTAGCAATGCATACTTGGGTACACTTGAGTTTAGGTTTATCAAGTACATGACAATGAAAGATCTAACCACATCACCACATCACTGAGGTAATAGGAATGTCAAGTATAACTGAAGTTAGTATTTTTAAGAAAAGATGAGTAATGTAATCATTATTAGCATGAGTATAGTTTTGATGAAAATAAATAATTGCTTGCAAATGTATTTGCTGGCTGAAATCTGTTACCCTTCCCAACACAAAACACAGGTACGTTGATATGAATTTATTATTTATTAGGCCAGATCAATTTTATTTCTTGTTTTACAGATTTTTGTCCTCAGAACACCTAAAGGCAGGAGGGAAAAAAAATACAAATAAAATCACCTGTCAAAGTAATATTCCTTCTAAATACTCAAAGTATTTTACATTTGACACAGTAGCTGAGCGGGTTAGGCGGCTGACTTTGTGTGCTGGCGATTAGGTGCCTGAGTCTGAGGGTGTGAGTTCGATTCCCGGATGGGGCTCAACTCAAAAAGTACTAGAATTTGTACTTTACTAAGAAAGTGTAATCCCAAATATAACATATGTTACAATTTGACCACTTTCTAAATGGCATTGTGTAATCACACTTCCATATTCATAAGAATTCTCTAATAACGCAGAGTCGACCTTATGTTTCTGTTATCATAAGCATGAGGTTATGGATCATAATCAAATGGTGATGTTAACATGTTTGGGCAAAAAGGTGAGGTATCCTACCCCGTTAGTTGCCTGTCACAAACCCATGCAAAGGCAGGTCAATTGTACCATGTTAAACTGGACTTACCATCTGTATAGAATGATCAGATTTACAGAGTTCCTTATTAACAATTTTTCTACTAACATGCTGAGAAGTTTGTGCAGACATTGCCAACAGCAACATTTGCAAGGTGAACGGCTCAGTTCGACTAACCAACTTCACTGTCCATGAATACAACACAAGACAAGCTCTATCATCTAGTCATGTAATCTTCTAGTAGTTATGTTTGTCGAAATGAACTTGAGAGGCCATTGGGATTTCAATCCAGTTCTTGCATCATGAAAGATTAACAGGTTAAAGTCAACAGCAAGAACATATTGGACTCTCAACACTCTTATACAACAACTAGTTTGATTGTCATTTTCATCTCATGGTCCGTTAAGATCCATGAATCAGTACCATGGTTTGATCAAAATCAAAGTTATACAAGTGAAAACACTGCATGTGTCTGAAATGCTTAAAAAACCTGTTTAACAAAAATACACTATTTGAATATCAATGGGCGGATAAAGGTATATTTCAAGAACTATTTTGTATGGAAGGACACAGACTGTTCACTGGCACTGGCTGGACAGGTCTGACATCTGGATGGAGATCACTGAGGACATACTGTCTCTGAGACTTGGATGTCTTACACAAGGAATACAAGAGAAAGCAAATTTATGGTTGCCATGGTTTTACAATAATATGTATCTTTACTAAAGAGTTTATCAGTATCACTTAAGTTTGTTTTAACACTGATTTAAACAGTATTCAGGTCAGTGTGCGAAATAGCCACTGGCCCGCAAGCCCCTGGCTAGTATAAATCCAGTCAGGCCAGTAAATCTCCAGTCACTGGTCCGACTGGCCAGTGAATTTTCATGAGGTCATTTTGTAAATCTATCACTCTTTCCGACTTGTTAAGATGTAATACACTTTTACATCATGCAAGATTATGGCCTGATAAAAGTGTTCATCATATTAGTAGCTCAATGATGAAACCCGTGTCTACATTCAAATTTCGGGCTTGTGACTTACTTTGGGGGCTAGTAACTCTCAGACATAGCTAGCCTGCCTAGCCAGCAAAATTTGGAAACTATTTCGCACACTGATTCAGGTTATATCACAGTGTCACCTTACTGTGCAACGAAAGCTTGAAGTGATGCTGGGCTCAGCCGTTTATCATTTGGTGAAACAGACAAGCACTGGTACCATGATGACAAACCTAGTGGAATAATCTGCCAACTTGAGGGTCCCAGCAGTGTTCAAGGGATGTAACTCTTCACAGCAATTTGATCTCCTGAAGAGACTCCGCTTTGTGAACTGCACCCTACCATCCCAATAATTGATTACACCTGCACTCTAATTAATCATGGTTGCATAGTGATAAGGTATAGAGTTTATGAATGTACTCCACAGTTTAAAAAATATGCATATTCAACCATAGCTGACACTGGTGTATATGTAAGCAGATCATATGAAAAGGTCAAACATTTTACATGTAAATTCTGAAATAAGAAAGCATGTTTCTTGACAATCAACAATGAAATCAACAGGTTAGTCAATGATTATTATTATCAGAAAGTCATTAACAAATCCTAAAAGGAAAAAGACAAAGAAATAAAGCTTTCACTGAATCATTCAAAAGTGGTTTTGAATATGACTAGAAAACAACACAAACAGAAAATTAAACAAATATAATAGGGCAGTTGAATACAAAAATATCTCAAATCACCAATAAAAAAGCAAACACTAAATTAAACCCAAAAAATTGAAAATTCACACAGCAGAATTTTGAAATATTCTAATGTAAAATGCAGACTTCATCCCAATCAGGACAATCAACAAGGAGTTACCTCCCTTTAGTCTAAGGGGGACTAAAAGAGCATCAAAATACCGTCAACAGTGAACATATGTAATGTAGGGGTGAAATTATACATTGTTGCATCCTGCGTGTTCACTGAATGATATACACTGTACTGATACAAGGTGTTACACTTACTAATATACTTACTACATGTTTAAAGACACTATGCATCCCATATTTTGTCAATCAAATGTCGCAATGTGAATTGTAATCATCATTTCAAATTTACGACTAGAAATACCCATGATGAACAGGCATTTGCAGCTGAGGTGTTTTATCCTTTGGAACCTGATCTGAAGTATTCATAGTCAAAAGTTTCCACACAATTTTATATTAAAATGTATCATGCTGTATCATGTCACTCCAAATTTGTAAAGCATTATTGTATAACATGTAAATTTTTTGCATATTATATTTTGATTTGCAGACTCCTGTAGCAGGCCAAATGGAACAAGGTAAACCTTCCCATGGGGTAATTTGAGTACGAAGACATATTGCAAGCATCTCAAAAAAACTCCATAGAATTAACACTGGTTTTACAAAAATATGGAATAATTCTGTTGAATGGATGGAATCTAAAAATTTGATCTGACAAAATACTTCTGTCATTTTACAAGTTACAAACTTCCTTTCATAGTATTAGTATGTGTAGCATAATAAAAGATAAAAATGTTGCCAAATAAATGATTAATTCATAATTGCAGATGCAAACATGTTAATCATCAAACCCTATTCTGTAAAGTATTAGCTCTGACAAGATTCACATCAAATCAACTCCAGTGCCTAAAATGTCTCTTTCAACATACACAGTAACAGTATTTAAAATGTGTTTGTTTGTTTGTTTGTTTGTTTTGAAACTAGGACAAACCTGGTTAGAGACAGCTGACTTAAAACCCCTAGTCTCAAACAGTGTAGTGGGATATAGAACTGCAGGTGATAATAAAATGATGTTAGAAAAACAACTAATAACATGTCATGGTTGCCCTAAAACCGCTCACTCTGTATGAACAAAGGATAAACATGCACAAGTAAAAAGAGGTAATCAACAGAAGCAATAATCATGATAACACAGCACCAAACTACAGATTAATATTATAAGTCAGGTTTTGAATTAAACAAACATTTCAAAACACACATTTATACATGGATATTCAAATTAAGAATGATTGAAGATCTGTTCCTAAGAGACAAGGAAAGCTAAACAAAAGAAATAAGGGTAATTGGATACTTTGAACAGTCTTCCAGCATAATCCACAAGTACGGTAAATCTTTAACATGGTTGAATGTCTAAAGTGACATAACGTAAATGTTTACACGTTAACAGGAACCAGCAAGTACTAGCATCAGCTAGTGAATCTAAAGTTGGAGAATCTGGGATTCCAACTGACGAGGACCGATTCCAAGTCCAAGACAACGGTGCCACAAATGTCCAATCCTGGAATGCTGAAGATCTTTTGATTACTGAATATTATCATGTCTTTTTGTGTTCATGTTGGAAGAGAAACAATGAATACATTATTATGAACGGTGAATATTCCACTTCTTCAAATTCTCAGTTGTGTAATGTCAAATTTAAGTTTATATGAATCAAACATCAAATTTTGCCATCTACAGCAAAATACTCATGTAATCACACAAATGCAAATATACCACTTCAGCCGATCTGGCAAGTCCATCAGCTGTGTTCAGTCACACAACAGATAATGAAATTGTAAAATTGAGGTAAACATGTTTTGGGATGGATGATTATTTTTTTTCTATCAGTATTGCCTGTTTGAACCTTCATAATTATTGAACACAATTCAAATGGTATCTTAAGTCAAATGAAAACAAGTGATCTGTAGGATCTTATATTCAAGATAAATAGTTTCAAGTTCAACCTCCTTACCACATACAGCCAAGTACTGAACACTTAAATATGTCAATGTCCACATCAACTTGATTATAGAATTTCTGTATAATACACATTATTAGTTTGCATATCATTCACACTAAGTAAGAACTTATACCATACTTGCATATAGTTTTACACTATCCATTAACAATTCACTGTGTTGCAATAGCACTTGTTAACAGAGCATCATAAATGAAAACAAGGAACATCTTCAGTGGTAATTAGAGAAACATGATGATACACCATAGGCAGTTGGAATTACCTCCCTTGTCAGGTTGCCCGAGACTACTACTGACACATGTTAAAATCTTATAGTCATCACACAATGTTTTGATTTCACAATGCAGCTAGTTCCAAATTTGAGAACACTAATTGTAGACTCAAATTCAAACACTCAAAACCTAGTAGATTTTTCAACATACTAACTTTGAATCCACAATGTATAATTAACTCATAGTGTCAGCCCTGTCAACCAACAAATTACATTCAACAGTTAGAACATGCTAGAGGTTGTACAGTTGATATTAACTCAAACCTTAAACAACTCAATCCTGACAATGGTGTATTTATTTAAAGTGTATCGTGATCCAACAATTCAATACTGATCACTTGTCACTTCACATCAGGACAAACTTATCACTACATCAGAAATGAATTATTTACAATGGAACAGATTTATGATGGGAATATTAGCACTTATTATGCATTTCCTTCCTCTTATGCGTCACATCTTCATGACATTCATATGAACTCATCACGATCACAAATATATACATGCACAATATCAGCATTAACAACTTTTCTTCTGATTTGACCAACGATATGTTTATATGAAATTGATAACCTTTTAACTGTTTGTGCTTAATACTGTTTTCTCTTCATCGACATGGTTACAAAACTGATTTTGTTATAATCCTATAATAAGGATTACTATCAGATTATATTAAGCGCAGTTTTATGAATAAGCCCCTTCATACAATTTCATGTATTTCTAATCTTAGTGGGGTAGCCTAGTGGTTAAACTGTTCACTCCTTACGTTGAAGTGTGAGTGAGTTTGGTTTTATGGTGGGGGACACCAGAAATGGGTTTTACACACTGTACCCATGTGGGGAATTGTACCCAGGTCTTCAGCGTGACAAGCGAACGCTTTAACCACAAGGCTACCCCACCACCCCTTCACGTTGAAGACCCGGGTTCGATTCCTCACATGGATACAATGTGTGAAGCCCATTTCTTATGTCCCCCGCCGTGATATTGCTGGAATATTGCTGAAAGCGGAGTAAAACCAAACTCACTCACTCACCATTTTTTCATCGCAAAACCTAAACCAGAAAGAGAGTGGTCTCTAAATTAAGGATGAACGGGATATCGAAAACACAGACAAATATACCAACAGCCAAACAGGCTTCATTGGATCCTTGGTGGTTGCTGTCATTCTGTTGCTTCATAACATCAGAGGGTGGTTAAAGCTTTCGCTCGTCACACCGACAGCCCAGGTTCGATTCCCCACATGGGCACAGTGAAGCCCTTTACTGGTGTTCCCCACCGTGATATTGCTTGAATATTGTTTAAAGCGGCCTAAAACCCAACTCACTCACTCACTTAACATCAGGAATGAGACACGGATGCCTTCCAATCTTAATTACCAACACTACAGCTGTGCTTCAGCCAGAATATTTTTGAGTGTTGCCAATTGGCACCTTAACTATTAAAATGTGTGCCAGTGCAGTTGCGACTTTTGCCATTCATGGTAACCATGGTATAGAAGACCTGTGGATTATATTAAATGTTGCGACAATGGGCGCTCTAGCATTGGAAAAAAGTGCCATTGCATATTTTTTAGTGTGAATGGCGCAATGGCGCTTGCCTGGCTGAAGCACTGCTGCAGCATATACAGTGGGTATAACTATAAGCCAGTGTCTAGGAACCAAACACAACAGGATGTGAGTCCTGTATTTCAACAGAAAAATAACAAGGTAAACCTTCTGCAGTTCCAAAAGTAAAATTCACATACATACCCAAAATGGCAATCTTATACATGAACACTACTGGTTGTACATGTGGAAATATGTTTTGAATGACACGGTGGTAGGACAGGCAAATGGAGGAGATTCTTGATATCATTGTTTATACATGTTCTCGATATCATTGTTCATATATCTGTGTGTTCTTTATCATGCTGTGACTGACTGGGAGGTCTCACAATCATTTCCACAGTGACAGGCGTTTCTTCTGCGTCATGACAAACAAGCTCGTAGCATGTGTATTGTTCACAGGGCAAGCAGTACTTGATGTTCTCAGTTGGATGACAACACATGTAATACAGCAACTGAAAAACCACATGCAAACCTGCCATGGTCAAGATAGCGATGAATCCTCCCACGTGAAACCACTCTCCAATATGAGAGGAATATAAAAACCAAACTGTCAACATTGCAATATTTTCAGAATAAAACAGCACGTAAAATAACAAATACCTAAACCTTGAATGACCTTCCTTCAGGTTCAAAAAACAAAATATCATAACATAACCACATACAATGTCAAAGAACTTCTCAAAACAGACATTATCTTTGTAAAACCTTGTTTTCTGGCACATGAGCCAAGCTGATATAACAAACCAGTGGATGCCCACAGGAATGAACACAAACGCTTGGAAGGAAGACGCGAAGAGGCACAAACAAAGAACACGTGTCCCGACCTCGCTGGCTCGCCATATGAAGTAGAATGGGATGGACTTGATTTTCATGACCTCCTTCTCCTCCCTGGAGAAGCGGAGTGAGCGGTGATACGACAGGAGCGACACTGCCGGTGATAACCGAGCAGCCCAGTCGGATTGACACTGCAACAAAGAAACATGATCATATAAATGTCTAGAAGCGGAGGAGTGATAACCAGGAAGAAATCAGCGAGCCCAGTCGGATTGACACTGCAACAAAGAAACATGATCATATAAATGTCTAGAAGCGGAGTGAGTGGTGTTACACGACAGCAGCGACACTGCCAGTGATAACCAGGAAGACATCAGCGAGCCCAGTCGGATTGACACTGCAACAAAGAAACACGAGAATAGTCCATGCCCAATTTTCTATTAAGTGCATTTTACAAGAAAACTTGTGTGTGTGACTCGGTGTGTAGTAATAAAAGTATTTGAGCAATATGTGTAATGTGTTATTCAATGCGTAGTACAGGAGGCAACTCCTAGAATGCCTAGCTATCCGTATTTTGAAACATTGCAAACTTATCATATTAGCTGCAGTTACTGTACCACCAAAAAAACTCTGCAAGCACGAACACAGTTTGGAATATGGGGGATTAGTGCTGGTTATTGCTGACAATAGCTGACAATATCAGATCAATAATCGGAGCTCTATAGTCGATCAATAATCGGAGCTCTATAGTCGATCAATAATCGGAGCTCTATAGTCGATCAATAATCGGAGCTCTATAGTCGATCAATAATCGAGCTCTATAGTCGATCAATAATCGGAGCTCTATAGTCGGATCTATAGTCGATCAATAATCGGAGCTCTATACACAATAATCGGAGCTCAATCAATAATCGAAATCGACAATAATGGGACACTATCACAACATTGTGCAAATGAAACAGGCACTGATTAATGCCACTATCAAGGTGACTGAGGATACTTCTTTATGAGACATGCACCCGAAAATGTTGCTTACATTGCAGTTTCATGAGTCAGGAAACTGCATCAGCTTTTTAGGACTTGATTTCCCAAACATAACAATAAGAAACATACTTTCTAAAGTTTAATTTGATGTTTTTATTTTTTAGGATTATCGATTAGTCTCTCAAGGTCATCGATAACTGCTGATGAAAGTGAGATCCATCAATTGACTGATTATTTGATCAATCACTCCAGCACTAGTAACGACATAAGAATAAGAAAAGGAAATAGGATCATCTGGTCCTTCATCTTTGCTTACATCCCACCACATCCTCTTCAGGTTTCAGCATGATCCACACATACAGCTGCCAGGTGAGCTGTGGTGCTGATTCCAGGAAGCTCTCAAAGAGTCGAAGAAGACAAGCATCCACATCTTCGTACAACATCAACCAATAGTAGTGCTTCTTTAACTTGCCCTCTGTTTTCATGAACATCCAGCCATTGTATATATACTCTGAAACCCTGAAAGATTTAAAGATGAATCATATGTCATATTTAGGGTTACTAAACATTAAATTGGATCGTTTCAAATATTTACTATGACCCTGCTTACGCAAATAGAAAGTTGAACCCACTAGTGTTGAACTTAGTAAAACTTCTATAGTTTATATGCATGTATTAGATATTTGCTGAAACAACTTTCTCAATAATTTATGGGAATACTATCTACATATATAATTTCAGATCTCCCGACAAGGATGTGTCGAATTCAGGGTTGCCAATCTTGAACTCAATCATTTGTCCTATACTGTATTCATTCATTATCATGATTATGTTTAAATTTCACCCAATGATCGAACAGTCTCAAATAACATAAAACATCCACACACCCAACTGTCAACTTTCATCTCACGTCAAAACACATTTGACTGACGAGCTGATATCATAGTGATTGCCAGTAATCAATTAAAAGTATGACGCTTTCTAACAAAATCCTGTGATTACTGAACACTTATCAACAGCAATTCACTGAAGCATTCTTTTGTGACTGCCATTTTTAGAAAATTGAGAAATGAGTAATATTGACTAAGATTGTCATTGATTGTCAGATATGTCAGTAAACCAATTTTTCAAGCTATGACTTATATAGTGACGCCAATTCAGATACCAACAGTGGGATCAATCTTCTTCCAATCACTTCCTGCACACTTTGCACCGAAATTAACATATGCCTTGAAACAAAATGTTGTATTCAGACCTGGTAATGTTCTCTGATAACACTATGATTGGTTTTGAAACATTCACTCTGTTGGCTGTCTCAAACTCAGGTTAACTCGGCGCAGTGGGCGAGCTGGCTAAGGTGCCAGGCTAGTGATCCAGCGAGGTTGATCGAGCCCACCTGTGACCAGGTGTAAAAACCTTAGAGTCAACTTTGTGTGCAGACTCTTTCAGTGTTGTCACAACCCCTAGTGTACAGTACACAACCCTGTGCACTTGAAAGAACCCACGAATTCGTTGGTATATGACCAGATGGGGGGCCACATGAACATGTGCAGACACCTACTGTGACCTAGTTGCGGGTACAGCAACGTGCAGTACACTTTAACAAAGTACTTTGACTATGTGTCCCAGTCCACCCAGCTTTGATTGGGTGCCTCGTTAGAATGAGAAAGCCACAATAACTCAGTGCACCTAGTGGCAGCAAGAGTTGTATATACTCCCCAAGGAGTTGAGACTGATAAAACGATGTGCTGTTGAGATTGACATCCAATGATCGAGGGAAAAAATACCAGTGCCTTGAGCATGCACCAGTTGCGTGGATATGTTCACTATATAAATATACTAGAATAAATATACTAGAACTCAACTTTCTTCAGTATGGTAATTTGTTTTCAGTATCTCAAACACACAGCCCATATTGACTTGTTGTGTGATACACAACCATTTATTGTTTTCAAGAAATATTCTGTTTTGATCAGTGTGAATGCAAAAACCACGAAAACTGAGATCACTGACAATGTCACTAACAGTAATAAGATTAAAACAAGTTCTACTCAAACAGAGATATCAAATTGTACTTCTGATTCTGAGATTGACTCTATTTGAGGCCACGGACAAAACTAACCTCTGACAATGTTATAACTTGTGGTCCTCTTAGCATGGCTTAGAAAATGTTGAAGTGACATAAAATCAGCATATCTTAACGTGGACATACCTGATCACTGGTCCAAATTGTAGAGCTGTGATGACAAACCTTAGTGCCCACTTGTAGCCAGGTGTAATCTTCTCATTCACTTTTTCAAGTTTACTTGGGTCTTTGTCCTTTCTGGCTTCAGTCAAGGCTGCCTCTTCTTTTCTGTAGTCCAAAACATACCAGGTGATTCCAAGTCCACATGTCACAACTGATGGCCCTGCTGTGAGCACTAGTGACACTAAGCCGTAGAATAGTTCACCTTTTATGAAATATTTCACAACAAGCCAAATGTCAGTTCCAAAATCAACAAAATATAAGATGATTGACCCCAGTCCGATCAATAACTCATAAAGGCCAAACTCATAATGCCAAGTTTTCTTTTGTTTTACCGGAAATGTAAGATCATAGTGTTGAGGTGTTAGACTTGAGGGTGTCTCTGGGACGCCCGCCCTAACCACGCCCATATCACGAGAATCATGTGAAAGGATGAAGGGTTGTTTTTTGTCGTTAGGGAGGTAGTCGATAACATCTTCTTTGCTTTCTCTTGGTTTGTATAAGTGTTCTCTATTCGCGGTTTGTATTCTCCCATCCAAATTGTCAGATCTTCGCCTGCTTGCTGTTTCGGTTTTCCTCGATTGCCTGTTCGCGACACTATTCAGATGGTCATTTTCTTCATCTTCGTCTGAATCGGGTCCTAACAGAAAGCGATAGGGGGTAACACCCTTATTCCGGCTTGAAAGTGGTATTTTAGCCATGTCCAGTGACCTTTTACATCGGTTTTATGTCATCTTTCATCCCATTCACACTGAGGTAGTCACCACACTGACAGCAACCGGAAACACAATAGCGACTGACCTAAAGCTCCTGGCAGCGAGACATCGCCATCTTGATAGTCACTGTACGCAGCGCTGTAGAAGAGTTGATTAGACAAGAAGCTCCCAACAGTAGCTTCCCGGGGAATGTTGCACGCGGTGACTGAGAGCATTTGATACACTCCTATCCTAACATGTGGCAGAAGTAACTTGAGTTATACCAAAACGATTTAGACTTAATTAAGCTGGACACCCGTTTCAGTTTATTCCCTAGGGCCTCGGAGACTGGCCAGGAGGGAGGGAGATATGTTTATGCACGTTTCAGTAGGTGTGCATACACATGTCTCCAATTATACACAAACGTACACACACTAACTGTATACATAGATGAATGTGTACGCACGCATGTCTAACATGTACCCGCACCAGTGTGAGAAATAGCCTCTGGCCCGCTAGCCGTGGCTAGTGAAAATCTAATCGGGCCAGCAAGTCTTCACAGTCACTGGCCCGACTGGCTAGTGAATTTTCATGGGGTCATTTGTAAGTGTATGAAATAAGACGTGTGTGTGGGTTTTTTTTATTGATTTAAGGGGATCACCGACTTTGTTCAGGGGTGGGTGGGTGGGTGTCATCAATTTTGTACACATGTTTCTGGGGTAGCAATTTTGTACATAAAATATTTAAAAATTATGCTGAAAAATATTGGGGGGGTCATTGATTTTGTACATGACATGCAGGGGGTGTCACTTACTTTGTACATAAATTTTAGGGGGGTCATTCACATTATTGTACATGCTTCTCCATGAAAATCATCATCATCACACACACACACACACCACCACCACCACCCCACACCCGACACACACGTACCCTGGCCAAAAATTATGAACTGTCCCTAAGGCCCGTCCGAATGCCCCAGGCGGTCCAGATTTCTGACGGACGGTCTAAATTTACAGCTAGCCAGACCGATGGTCTGGTAAAAAGTTTAGGTGTTCCATACATCTGAGTAAATTCACCATATTTGGTCTGGTTCAATCCATTTTGTGTCTGGCTGGATTTTTGGCTTATTTCATACACTTGTAAATATATCACTCTCTCCGACTTGTTAAGTAATAATACATTTTTAAATCATGCAAGATTATGGCCTGATAAAAATGTTCATCATATTAGCAGCTTAATCATGAAACCCGTGTTTACATCCATATTTTCGGGCTAGTGAATTGTTTTGTGGGCAAGTAACTTTCAGGCACAGCTAGCCAGACTGGCTAGTAAAATATGGAAACTATTTCGCGCGCGGACACACACATTTTTACACACAAGCACTCTCTAAAAAATAAGTATCCCAAAATATCAATCCGCAGACCCGTCTTCCCATTCGCCCCGTGCTCGACCCGACTCAACCACTACCCCACCACATAGCAACACACCCCACCCCTTTACCATTTTTGCTTGCAAAGTAACATTTTTCCATTTTCTGTTTACACATAGCAATATCAGTCGTCAAAACGCAGCAATATGAAAGCATATGCATCCATTTCACATGTAGAATGATTCTATAGGGTATAAAGAGAGCCTAGAATACATGAAAGGATACACAACTACGAGAAATATGCCACGATTAACAGATGAAGAGAGAGAAAGAGCCATTGTAATGGTGCAGATGGGGGCGACATACAATGCTGCTGCCAACGCCCTCGGATGCCATCGTATCACGGTTATAAGACTTATTCAGGGCTTCAGACAGACTGGGGTCCCCGTAGACAGACCAAGAAGTGGACGTCCACGCATCACAACGCCAGCTGAAGCTAGGTACCTCCGTCATTAAGGAAGCAGGGTAACGTTTCTTTTGGCGTCTGCATGGTGCACACCTTGCTAGTAGCGTTTTCTCTCTATCAATATTCATGTTTACCATTACAAAATTCAAAATTTCTGTCACATCATGGAAAGGTGTCTCATATTCAACATCTTCAAAGATTACTTAAGTACATGTATATTATATTTCTCAACAACATGGATGACTAAAATATAGAGTCATTTGCCCCGAAGTACTATACGCTAATCTTGGCCACATGAGAACCACGCTTTTACCAGCCTGGGGAAATACTTTCCTTGTGGTATAATCTCCACACCTGATCAGATATCATCCGATTATGCAGGTCTTTACGGTATTAAACAGCCCGGGCAGAAAACATAACACCTCATCCTTTGTGGAGGCCCTACACTCATTAATATAGGGTTACTATGTATTACATCGCTAGCGGGTTAGGGCCAGCTGTGTTACAACCTTGAACACGAGGATCCCTTTCCACAAAGCAATCTTGGCGCTAAACGATAGCAATTCCCAACATAGACTTGCGACAATGACATCATGGTAAATGGATTTTGAAGAATATGAGATGATATATTGTACATGTGGCGGCTCGTGTGTGTGCGCGAGCGTGCGTGTGAACTCATGAACACGAACTCATGTCAGATACACAGTACTAGCCCACTGAAATACCATCCCGCCGTTTAAAATGGATGTCCGATCAACACCGACCTTACCCTATATTATAGCAGGCGCTCTATCCACTTGATTACTTAGCCGATCTAATACCCATCAAACAAACAGGGAGCATATGACCTACACCTAAAGAAGCCAAGGAGAGCAAGGACCGATGGCTGCCACTGAACCATCAAATACGCCATCTCTGCGGGAATACGCTGACCGTTAATACGCACCACCATATCTATCTACGTGGAACCTCCAATATGGGTACAAGCTGGTGATCTCTTGGCACGTCTGTTGGCAGTCTGGGACATTCACTTCCTGACAATATACTCATGCCAATAATGGTTGTCACCCCCCTTCCCCACTCCAACCCCCACACCCACACCCACACCCACACCCCACACCCCCTCTCCAATAAAAACAATTGAAGGTGGTGACAACCATTATTGGCATGAGTATATTTAGGGTATTGTAATTACGACACTTCATCAACGAAAGTCCATAATGCCTTTAATGTTGTTTTCCAGTCGTTTAAGTCGGCGGTAGGGTAGCCAAGTGGTTAAAGCGACCGTTCGTCACGCCGAAGGCCCGGGTTCGATTCCCCACATGGGTACAATGTGTGAAGCCCATTTCTGGTGTCCCCCGTCGTGATATTGCTGGAATATTGCTGAAGCAGCAACCAAACTCACTCACTCATTCCAGGCGCTGTGCAGAGTTGCGTCTCTTGGCATGATGCCGCCTGTTGTGGGTTTCAGTCACCCTATTCGTATTGATTTCATTCATTGGTTTGCACCTATTTGTGTGGTTACTAATGTGGTAAATGGCTGAGATCGGCAGTACTTTGGGGGTTCCTCCCGCATATAGCAAACCATGCCCTGACTAAAACACTCGTTGTGACTTTTTGTATCCTACACCGTTCGTTGTCCTTGACAATACAAATAATTGATATGTAATTTCAAATAATGCATTTGGCAAAGCTGCTGCTCTTTTAAGCCACTGATTTGTCAGTTATAGTTATAGTTATAGTTATATGTCACCACATGATTTAAATAACTATGTTTTGAAAACGTTCACACATGCACGCGCAAACATACACTCGTATGCATTTAGATCAAAATGTTTTTTTCGCGCTGGGTAAATACGCACATGTGGTGCCCTTGAGTCCAAACTGTATTCACGTACACGTATGACGAGAAGGGATAATCCCCAGGTTTAATCCTCTAAGGCAGGATTCTTGGACACCTGTGTTGACCATTATCCTATTAAAGACCGAATACCGTTAAGAAGGCGTCGTTGTGTACTTGGTTTGGTTTGGTTTGATTTGATTTGATTGTTGTTTAACGCCGCATTCAGCAATATATGGCGTCGGTCCATAAGTAATCGAGTCTGGACCAGACAATCCAGTGATCAACAGCATGATCCTCGATCTACGCAACTGGGATACGAGCCTGACCATCCGATCCAGTTAGTCGCCTCTTACGACAAGCATGGGTTGCTGTAGGCCAATTCACGGGTCCACCTAACATGAATGACCAATATGCACGGTATTCTTCTCGTACTCAAAGCTTACCATACGCAAAATTAACAAAAGTCTACAATCTCCTAACCATCCAAACATGCTGGGTTAATATTGTTTAACTCCACACTCAACAATTTTCCTGCGAAAACATGGCGGCTTGTATAAATAACCAAATCTTATTTGGACCAGACCAACCGGTGACTGACACTATGAAGAACGTCCCAAGTCGGTTATGTCACCAAGCATGCCCTTCCCATTCATTAAGCCTCTTCTTATAAACAACATGGGTTGCCTGGAAAATATTGCAAAACCAGGGGCCGTATTTATCAAACAACTTAAGATCTTTCTGAAGTCAAAACTTAGTTCTTTGATAAGTACGGCCCCAGGAATCACCACGATTAAAGTCCAGAGTAAACTACAGTGAAACCTGTCTAAACCGGCACCCCACGGGACCGAAATAAAATGCCGGTTTAGACAGGGTGCCGGATTAGACAGTGACGATCATTTCCCAACATGGCTGCCATTTACACTCGTCACTTTTGTAACGACAGGCTTTAAACGAACTGACAAATATAACTGGAGCTTTTTTGTTTATCCAGACCACTTGCAGTATATTTCAGTCGAAATGTGTATGTATAACGAACTGCGGTTATAACGAACTATAAATCCCTCTGAGTTCGTTGTAACCGTAGTTTATTGTATAGACTCCTCCAGTGAACTCGTAAGAGGCGACTAAGGGGATCGGGTGGCCAGGCTCGCTTACTTGGTTGACACGTGTCATCATATCCCAAATGTGTAGATCGATGCTCATGCTGTTGATCACTGGATTGTCTGGTTCAGACTCGATTATTTTAGTAATATTTACAGACTGACGCCATATAGCTGGAATATTGCTGAGTGCGGCGTAAAACTAACTCACTCACTGATACTTAGACTCGCACGTGAACACTGAGAATTCCATTTGAACACGCATCCTGGTAAATGTATATTATTCTACTGACGATTTATAATCCATAAGATTTCACAAAAAGACCAAAAAAAAGAACAGTCATCTATAATAAAACGTCAGAGCAAAACGGTAGTATGTTTTGATATTGAAGCATTTATTCAGATTATACATGTCTTGAAATGTGATCAAAACGAAAAGGATGTAAAATACAGACATGTTTTGTCACTCTGAATCTCCATGCGTAGATGCTAAATATGAAAGAAGATGAGGTGATTCCATTGGTCGCCTTTAATTCTCGTTCAAGAGGGTAAAGCAGTGGAATGGCTTGTGTAGAAGAAAGCTGTTGCTTGGATACTCAGGATACGGAAGGCATTACTTGAACGCAGTCATAGTCTCATAGACAGAAAGGTTTAGCTCTTCAGCATCAAAGAATTGTGTCGTTGACTTTGGGACTTTGAAGTGCCACAGAAAGGTAATGTCAGCTTGGAAACCTTAGTTTAACCAAAGAAGTTGAGGAAATAAATACCACTCTCTGAGATTGATTCCTTTATAGGAGATATTATTACTTGATAATTGGAAGAATACAGAATTGAACTGAAGTTTCAAAATACACGCTGATTCTACCATAAACGCGTCGTTTGGAATTGGGATGTGGGAACCTGCTTAAAGGGATAACCAGTACATGGGATTCAAACCTGTTCATTCGTATATGATTTAAAACTTATACGATGTATTTTGATGATAGCAGATAAAGTTACACAGGAGTCCGGTTACTGGTTTCCGTTAATGTTCCGGATTATTCTTAGGGAGTAATACGCTAATTCAGATTCGTGTGGTTTAAAGTCACGTTAGACTGAAATATACACTGTCCTTGTTTATTGGGATATATTTTGAACACATATAGTCCCATATACGATGCAAAGCATGGCCATTCAAATTATATTTCGTTGTTAACATCATCAGATTTTGTCCAAATAATTATGTCTCCCTCCTAGCGCGAAATGGCCTCTGTACCCACGTTGTTTTGATGTAAGAATTATCTTAAAGGTGAAGGTTAGATCGTTTCTTGTACGATTCAGATAAAATTAAGAATGGTGTCGATCAGAATTCTTTCCATTTGTTAATTTCTGACACTATATTTAATTCTTATGGAAAAAAGGAGAGAATGCAATTGAGATATATATCTAAACAACAATTGATTCTTGAGAGTCATACTTTACTATTGCTGGTGATCTCTAACAGACTGGTGTGCTGCCGAATAGTAAAATACCATTTTACGGTTTGGAAGCATATGTTTTTACACACATCGATATGACCCATATATCCTCTTTTATTATAAATTCTGTACCCAATAATCGAGTTAATAATTATAACACATCTGAAGATCTCGAATAAAAGAAAAAAACTTTTATAAGGACCTCAAACCATATGTCGATATTTCATTCTAAAACTTCCTCAATTATTCCCCTGTATATTTTTGTGTTGTGGCAACAAATATCAAGAAAGACTACTCACGGAACATGTTTCCTATAACAATAATTTGATTGCATGTTTAAGAAATACAGTTCGCTCTACCACCATGTAGTATATAGCGTAATAAAGCACACTTTCACCCTGAACTATTATAACGTTAAAGCACAAAGTGCTTTAACGTTATAATAGTTCCTTTCTGTATTTCTGTATTTCTTTTCTAAGATGCCAAATTTAACACTTTCTAAGGGTAATTACGATTTATCTAAGGCAGAAAACAAACGACGGTGTCGGTGACCTAAATTAAGAATCCTCGCACAGGGCTAACTGGCGTGCTGTTCTATTAATGTGTCTGCCCCCTACGTTAAGACGAACGTTACCAGAAAATACAAACGATAAACAGTTTGATGACGTTTTATGTTCGGATTAAATATCTTCTCCAAATTATTTTAATGACATCTGTCATTAACGTAAACCATATGGGGCAATATGAACGTCGCATTTCTACTACCAAAGTAAGTTTAGATCAGTACATTCAAATGAAGCTGAGTAGTCAAGCAACAATCCACGATTGCATTATGGGAATGTAAACATTGCGAACGTTACCGTGTCGCTGAAAAGAATTGAGACATTTAAAATGTCGGAAAACATAAACGTAATGTTTCCACCAGTGACGTTAACCGCGTGAAGCAACTGCAAACCAAGAAACGGGATGCAACGGAGTAGTTTACTGTAGGAGGCTGTATGAGGCGATGACAACTGGCATGCATTCTGACGTCGCTTACATTGTGACGTAATGCAAAATTGTTCGATCACGAGGTGGCAGACTAGAATGGCATTACAGTGTGACGTAATGGAGAAAGTGCACATTAATGTCTGATAAAGTACTGTCGGCGCCTTTGATCTTTCACCGAAGCATCTTAGAATCAATAAGTAGAGTTGATGACTTTCATCATGTTAACATATTCAGTTTGAGCAGCAGATAGAGGTTTCAGATGCTAAATTCTCATTTCTGGAAAGTAATACATTGGAAACACACTACTTTGATCACTATCTCATTTGATTTGAGCCAAGAATGCTTTTAATTTCAGAATGTGTTATCGATGGAGCCACCTTGCGGAGGTGAAGATCCTGCAAACAGGACTGGGGGCACATGACGAATTACAAGCAGTCCGGTGTCAGTGTACCAGGGCTTTTATCAGGTGCAGCCTTTGAACATAAATGAAGGTTGTTTGATGTTTATGTAGCAGGGCGTGGAGTCATCCCATAGATAGCATGCTTACCTTGTCAGCTTGCTTGGTCGTGATAATGTGTCACCCTGGTAGTGTATTTGCTATAAGTAGTTTAACACCAACCCTATTGTACCTCTTATTTCTGATTACGTCATCTACACGAGGATGATGACGTCATGTATAGATGAGTTAGCAATCTTGAATTAAACATGAAGGTTGACACCAACTCCCTCGTGTCTTAGTGTACATGGTGTAATGAACACCCCCACGCTGAGTACATTACAACCAAAAACAGAATTACCAATCATCAATTTGATAATATTTCAGATCATAAGGTCCAGGATTCGAATCCCAGCATGGCCACTACATAGGCACTTAACGTGGGGTTGAGCATGTTCATATTATATTTGAGCAAGTCTCAGTACCCTGCTAAGCATCTTGGGAAGTGCCTTCTGTTGAGTATGTAGCAGGGCGTGGATTTATCCCATAGAGACCATCCTTACCTTGTCAGCTTGCTGACGGGGTTAACTTCTTTGGTCATGTGGACAAGGCGTCCATTTTCAATCAGAAGGTCTGTGGTTAGAATCCAAGCTCAGGACTCGGAAATTTTATGGCCGTTACATTTAAAGCCACACTGAGCAATGTTCAAGCTGGAGTGAGAATAATTAAGTCTGAACCAGAGTGGTGATCAATATTGTTGGCCTGGATGGTTGCCATCTGGGTATGAAGACACGGACACACTTTTAACTGTGATACTGAGTCTGACCATCCGACAATCTGATCCATTTGGTCACTTCTGTCCATCTGTCGTCTTTTTGTTTTTAAATTATGGAAAGAAATAGAATCATGGTTGAACTCAGTACAGTTACAACTGGAACTTACAAATAAAATCGTTATATTGGGATTGAAAGGGAAAAACATTTAATCCAATTAATTAAATCATTTCAGAAGTCAAACATTATATCTACAGATGCAGCATAAATGGTTTCAAACCAAAGTTAGAATATTTAAAAAATGAAATTGTCCGTCACTATGATATGTCAAGATATGTTTACTTATCAGCGGGATCTGAGCAATTATATTTTCAATATTGGTCAACATTACATTTATCACTTGGAAAATAATCCAGCCAAATTTTTCCTTATCCTGACTCATGCTCTTTTGCTTGTCTTCTTCTTCTTGCGAACATAGTGGAACACTTGTATCTCCTTATTTGAAGCTCCCTTCAAAATAAAATCACTAATTGGTACTCACCACGAGTTGCTCCCCTTTGTCTCCCCTGCCGGGAAAAGGTGTCGCCACCCTCTGGCCATGTGCTTCACTCTCTCCTTCTTCGCCCAGTGAGCAGGATGTGAGAGCGCCTTGTGTCTCCTTACACACATATCCTTTGATAATCTCTTAGTTTTTACCTCTCATAGGTTACTATAGAGGTATAGCTAGTATCCTTTACTATTTGTATTGATTAATTATCGATTTCTACTGTTTATTCCGTGTATTCGCGGATTGTTCAGCTAGCTTTTTCGTTCATGAAAATCTGTAACGATTTGTAGATTACGTTTTCTGCCTCCGATCCACATGTAATATGCCCTAGTTGTTCTACGCGGTGCGTTTAATTCACGTTGCAGTTACTGCATTAATTTATCTCATTCTGCATTTAATAAATATCATCTTTGCGTCTTAAGACGTGCTGCAGATAGATCACGCAAACAAGGGCAAAACATGGCAGAGAGTCCAGATATTCCTTCCAGTCAGCTGCTAGCGATCGACCCTCTCCGCCTGGTGTTCTGCTAGAGACCCTGAGGCAGAGGAACGGGGACGCAGTCCGTTACCTCGAAGAAACGACCGGCCTCCCCAGACATCCCGCCATTGCAGACTAAGTCTAAGAGGGCCTCATCGCCGTCTCAACGCAGATTGAGGACACCCAGGGCAGCGCAGACTTCCAAAGGGAAATCTACGAAGACAGCAAGAACTTTCTCAGCCGAGATCGTTCCAGCAGCAGAGTTGGGCCTCTACGATGATCAGCCGATAATCATCCCCGACTTACGGCAGAAGAAGCGACCGGTGTCAGCGACTGTGACTTCTGCAGAGATCTCCATGCAGCCTGATGCCTCTACACCGACGCCAGGCGTCATTGATGTGAACCCCATCGCAGAAAAGCGCCGACGACTTCGTCACAGATCATCCCAGAAGACATGATGCGGCAGATTATGAACATCATGGAGGACCACTACAAACTGCGCAAGCAGGGTCCGAGCCTTCGCGAAGGCTCCAACGTAGACAGCACCCCAGAGGCACCCCCCGTCAACGTAGCAGCCAAGACGATGTCACCTTCGCGAAGGAAGTCCCGCACCACCTTGACGAAGGACCTAGATGTACAGCCTTCGCGGAAGGCCTTCGCGATGGCGGGAGAGATCATCACCATCTTCGATTTCATCTCTAGATATGGACTCAGACCATCAGACATCACGGAAGCCTTCGCGAAGGTCATATCATCGATCCCCCGGACCGGACGTAAATGAAGCTTAGCGAAGGCATTCGCGAAAGACATATGATTCCAGATCTTCATCGTCTAGAAGAACATCGAGGGACTGCCGAAGAGCTTCGCGAAGCTATCAACATTCACCTCACAAGTCTCCGAGAAGATCATCCCATAGACGATCTCCACTCCGTTCATCACCAGGTCGATCACCCATCAGATCTCCACATAGAGCGGCGCACAAGTCAACTAGATCGCCACAAACCTCATCAGATATTCAGATAGCTACACGCAGTCCCGAAGAGCATCTACAATTTATTAATGATGATGGTTTTGAGGATGATGGAGGAATCATATTTTCTGATGCAGAGATACGGTATTGGATGGTCAATAACCTAGATCTCACATCACCATCTAAAAGTGGCAATACAGCTCAGACGTATTTGATGAAGGAAGATGATCCAGATGCAATCACTCTACCCCCGATCGACCCGATTGCGGCAGTGCCACAGAATCTAGATGCAGCTTTCCAGAAAGCTACGAAAGTTCAGATACCACATCTACCCAACTTTCAAGCCAAGAAGTTCTCCACGCATAACATGGACTCCTTCTACAAGGCCCAGGACATCGATGAGAACTATAAGATCATCAGCGATGTAAAGAACAAGATTTACAAGATGGATGATCGTAAAGTTGGCTCATATAGAAACCATGGCGAGAGGCGTATGTTCTTTGGGTTAAATAGATCTAGGACGATCAATGAGACTCTTATTACTAGATTCCGGGATTCCACGACGGAAGATGATAGAATGATTTATTCTGCCTTACTTATGCAAAAGAAAGATCAGCAGTTTTTAACGGATCATCTTACATCTGTTTCAGCAGCACTGACCTTAGCTCGTCGTCAAGGCCTCCTCGCCTCCTGTAATTGGGGGGAGAACTTTACAGCCCCACTTTATACAGCCCCGTGGTCGACAACATCCATCTTTGACGGAGAAATCGACAAGGTCGCCAAGGAAGTCTCTAAGGATTCCAGGGAAGTCCTTATGATTAGATCGATGGACACACTAGCCAGCGTCATTCGTCAGACTTCACAAAGATACTCAGGCAGATCTAAGTTCACGGGCCTACAAAGAGCAAGAGACAGGAAGATAGCCAGCTCTAGAGGTAAAGATTCTTTTAAATTAAGCCCATATGGCAACTATAGAGGAGGATCAGGAAGAGGCAGGACACCCAGAGGTTCCCGCAATTATAGACGCTGAAACACAGGTTCGGAACGACTGGAGTCTTCCACCCCCAGCCGTTCCAGTACAACCAGCTCAAGTGGGTGGACGCCTCCAACTACACTGGGAAAACTGGGGAATACTGCAAGATCCTTACGTCTCCAACATTATTCAACACGGATTTCGTATCCCTCTACAGGACAAGCCTCCGCTGACAATCAAACCCCCCAAGTTCGATTTACAAGCGCAACAACTACCAAAGATAAAAGAGGCTGTCTCATCACTCCTATCCAAACAGGCCATAGAAGTAATAGATCAAGCAAACGTCGAACCAGGTTTCTACTCCCCAGTTTTCCTAGTTCCCAAGAAAAACTCCACGGAGAAATACAGACTCATCTACAACATGAGCTTTTTCAACAAGAACTATCTCACGCAAACCACGAAGTTTCAAGATGATACATTTACCTCAGTTACGCCAGATGATTAGGTCCTATGGACTACATGGGCAGCATAGATCTACAGGATGCCTACTTGCACATCCCCATTCATCCCGATTCCAGGAAATACCTACGATTTACTCTAGAAGGGCTACATTACCAGTGGAAAGTACTCCCATTCGAATATCATCAGCCCCTGGCTATTCCACGAGGATAACGAAACCGATTATCAAATTTCTACATCGTCAAGGGCTACGCGAGTGCGTTTTACCTCGACGACGGGATACAAGTAGATCAAGATCCACTGCGTCTCAAACTACAGTTAAATTACATCATAAAGCTACTAACACAACTAGGTTGGTTAGTAAACTTTAAGTCGGACCTAGTACCATCGCGCAAGACCTACAGTTCCTAGGTATTCGATTCATCACAAATCGCAACCGTATTATGGTACCAGAAGACCGTTGGCTCAAGATACAACAGACCATTCCACCAGCTCTACTCTCTCCGTTACCACTGCGACAATGGCAGAGCCTACTAGGTCTTCTCACATCAGCCCAAGACATGACTGTCACAGGCAGATTACAGTTACGTCCCCTACAGGTCCTCATCAACGCACATCTCAACGATGTACAACCATTCAGTCTACCGAAACATCTCAGACCACATCTACTATGGTGGACCAAGAAATCGAATGTCTGCGAAGGGATTTGTTTAGCAGAGCAGGAATACAAAACCCATCTGTATGTAGATCGCGTCACTCCAAGGTTGGGGAGCTCATCTCACCAACCACGCGATATCAGGGTTATGGAATCAGCAAGAATGCAAACTCCATATAAACAGTCTAGAAATGAAAGCTGTAATCAACGCCATTCTACATTGGAGCACATTTCTACAAAATGCGGCCTAATGATCCATACAGACAATTCGACAGTGGCGTTCTACATAAACAAGCAAGGCTCAACGAGATCGATGAACCTTTTGAACCTAAGCTTTCAACTGTTCGATTTAATACAAGATCTAAATCTACATGTCAAAGCAGTGCACATTCCCGGAGCCAGAAATATACTAGCAGACGCTCTCTCTCGGCCTCATCTACCATCACCGACAGAGTGGATGATCAACGGGAAATTTTTGCACAGATAATCAAGCAATTAGGAGCGCCGCTAATAGACCTATTCGCCACGCGATTCAACAATCAGCTACCGACATTCGTGTCACCAGTCCCAGACCCCCAAGCTTGGGCAACGGACGCTCTAAGTCTATCATGGGAAGGCCTCAATGCGCACGCAGCGTTTCCGCCGCCAGCAATAATACCTCAAGTATTACAGAAAATCAGACAAACACAGAGCCTACAACTCACTTTGGTCGCGCCCTACTGGCCGGCCAGAGCGTGGTTTCCCATACTAATTCAAGAAATCGGTCAACCAACACTGGAGCTACCCAAGCGCCAAACCTGTTAATTCATCCTCACACCAAACAAGTGCACGGAAACCCAGCAATGTTCCAACTACACGTATGGACTGTATACAAATGTGTTTAAACAAGAGAGGATATTCTGCCAGGGCGGCAAAAGCAGTCACGCTTGCCTTACGTTACTCAACTCGTGGCAATGCGGCGACAAGTGGCACAGTTTGAAAATTATGCAACAAAGAAAGGGTTTACAGCAAGAGAGGCTTCACAACCTCAAGTGGCAGACTATTTGTGTTACTACGCCAAAACAAACATTTAAAAGGTTCAACGATATCAACATATCTTGCCGCTTAGCTCTGTAATCACCATGAGAAGGGTGTCAAATTGACAAGATCTCCAGAGTTACTGGCCTTACTACGAGCTTTCGATTGGAGGACCAAAGCGGAAGTTCCACGCCCAGCTTGGGATCTGAATGTAGTGTTACAACACCTCACGAAAGTGAGGTCTATGAACCCTTGGAATCGACAAACTTTGAATTTCTCTCACAGAAAACATTGTTTCTGCTATCGCTAGCCACAGCAGCAAGAATGTCTGAAATTCACGCTCTGGATTACTGAGAGGATACAGTTTGATGACAATCATAACACAGCGCACCTCGGATTAAGATGGGATTTCATTGCAAAGAATCAACTGCCAGGTCAACCAGACAGATTATTCCACATCCCGGCGCTATCCTCTATTCTCGGATCACAAGATACACAAGACCTATCACTGTGTCGGTAAGAGCGCTCAAAGTTTATTTGACGATCCAAAACAAGGAGAAGATTTCTCAAACGTTTATTCATCCCATTATCGCCTACTTCGAATCAAACAGAAGTGTCACGGACCACAATATCTATTTGGATAAGGACTGTCATTCTCCGTGCCTACAAGGCAGCAGGCTTGGACCCACCAACAGCATCAAATCCACATGAGATCAGGGCACTGGCCTCTACCCTCCCTACACGGTAACTGTTCCTTGAACACGCATTATGGAAGGATGCTATTGGAAATCTAACATGGTATTTGCTAATCACTACCTAAGAGACATCACTACAGAAGATGTCTCTGGCATTCACCATTCGGACCACTGGTCCTCGCTCAGCAACTGACAGTCCCTCGTGAAGCGTTAAAATATTAGCCTCACAAGATTAATATGTATTTTATACATACTCATCTAGCTTATAACTCTAAGGAGTTTTAGGGCTATGTATATATGTTCAGCTTAAGTATTCTACCTTAAGCATATACTTGGATATAGTCAATTTCAGTGCCTCTATCAGAGTCACCTATATATATATATATATAATTTATATGTATTGTTCAATATATTCATAATGTAATTCCCTTTAATGGCTTTATATAACCTATGGTTTTCTTTTTATACAGGATACATCCTAAATCTAAGACTTCATGAAGTTCCCGTAGGGGATATTACAGTATATCTATACAAAATCACTAATTATAAATCCAAAGTATTCTGTTACCCACCTCCGTTCCGTAGGATGCTACAAACAAAGAGCATGAGTCAGGATAAGGGAAAATATGTAATTTTTAGAGTAAAATTGATATTTTATACTTATCCTGACTCATGAGGTTAGCCCTCCCATCCTCCCCACATAACACTTTGGATTTCCCTGTAAATTCAAGTGTTGGGCTCGCTAAATCAGGAGAGAGTGGAGCACATGGCCAGAGGGTGGCGACACCTTTTCCCGCCAGGGGAGACAAAGGGGAGCAACTCGTGGTGAGTACCAATTAGTGATTTTATTTTGAAGGGAGCTTCAAATAAGGAGATACAAGTGTTCCACTATGTTCGCAAGAAGAAGAAGACAAGCAAAAGAGCATGAGTCAGGATAAGTATAAAATATCAATTTTACTCTAAAAATTACATTTTTACTTTTTTTAGCCAACTGTACATTTTCATACGTGTACATATACCATTGTATTATTATGAAACTTATCTATACATGTTTGCTTGTACATGAAATATGGAAAATAAAAAACTCCTGTCGATCAAAACAGGTTGGTAGGGTACTTTTCTAACATGAAATCCTCGCAGGAAGTGACAACATCATAGACACAATAATGTGTTACGATGTGCAGCGTTCGAAATACCTGGCTGCCTGCCCGACTGCCCGGGATGGGTTATTTTCAACACGGACTGCCAGATGCTCACATTCCCCTGCCCAACTGTCGGTTTAAAATTTAGACATGTATATGAAGATATTTTGTGGGCAGGTAAGTTTTGGTCAGGGATGGCAACTTTTACATCTAACCAGCCCTGTGGTCTGGCTGAAATGTTTGGGAGTTTCATACCCTACGATGTGTCATACTGAAATTCACTCATCAACATGACTTTTGGTATTGATGATGTGTTATACTATTTTCTGGGTGGATAGGTAATTGTTGATAGTGTTTATTGTTGATAGTGTTTATATGTATCAATCTAGGATGTAATTGACGCAAGTTGTTTTTAAAATTGGTAAGATTTATCAAGCTGCTTATTGAAATATTGCTTTGAGTGGCAAAGTAGGGAAGTTTAGTAGTTCAAACTTCAAAATAAGTTCACTTACAAAAAAAAGTTCTTATCCTTACATTTGTCATTATTGAAACATTTTCCACTGTTTGTACCATTATTTAGAATGTCAAACCACATGATGTGTCGAGAATGTTCAATGTGGCATTAAACAATACTCCTTCCCTTCCTTGAAGCCCAATTCCATCTCTGTTTGATTCAGATATTTTACATGTTGATATTTTTTTTCATTCACAATTCAGTGATTCCAGGCTGTATAAGCAGGGTCTGTGGACAGAGTCAGCCTCTGAAACAGATGAAGATGAGGAGGATGATGGCAAGGTTAAGGACAAACCAACAGAACCTGTTGCAGTTGTCCATTCAACAGGTCTGGCCTCCAGCCCAACAGAGAAGCTGGATGTCGACACTGTGTCAGATGAGTTCGTGAAGATGGCAACTACCGATCAGAGGTTAAATCAGGCATTAATCAAAGAGGATGAAGAGGAAGACCTGGAGGAAGAATGTCCTTATGATAATGAAGAGCAGCTTATGATGCAGCAAATGGGCTTACCTGCCAGTTTTGGATCACAGAAGTCCAAAAAGAAAGCCCAGGTGATTACACAGTACTAGACCATTTGGATTGACCAGTCTTTGGAATTTCTAGTGCTAATTCATTACTACATTTAGATCAGAACATGTAATTTAACCTGTAAATGTCTATCCCGGTTAAGAAATGAATGAAGATATAAATTGATGTTTAGCATCTGAAATGTTGAGAGGTATTTGGGGCCGTGGGGTAGCCTACTGGTTAAAGCGTTCACTCAACACACTGAAGACCTGTTTTTAACACCAACCATGGGTTCAAAGGTGTCGAGCCCATTTCTGGTGTGCCATTTCGTGATATTGCTGGAATATTGCTGGAATATTGCTAAACATGATGTAAAACTACTTATAAAACATCTTGGAATGCTTACCTACCCACCTACCTGTGCATGCATGTTGATATGTAAATGCAATGATCTTGAACGCAAACCCTATTGATGTTAAAGTCCACTTAGGCTCATCGCTAATGTTTCAATAACACATTTTCAGACTGTGGTATATAATACTGAAAAAACAACTTCCAAAAAGAAACGAAAAAAGGCAAAGAAATCAAAACACAAACACTTGAAAGATGATCCACCAGTTGATACCGAGCAGTATGCAGAAGAAACCAGCCATGGCGAAACCTTTGCTCAACAAACTATGTCTGATATGAATTTTCAATCAGCTTCCGCTGATGTGGAACCAACACAGGACCTGGAGACAGCATGGCAGGAGTTCTGGACGAAGTATGGGGAGATGGTTGTGTGGCAGGGTTGGGTGTCGAAATATCCTGACCATATTGACTATGACAAACTCACAGTGATGCCGTCAGTGGTAGAGGTGGAGGTAGGAGCAGGGGATGAGCTGGTGCTAGACGAGGAAGGCAGCTGGACTGTCAGGGCGAAGGGGGAGGGGCAGGGGGATATGGATGTAGAAAAGGAAGGGGAGGGGCAAGTGACTCAGGATGCAGAAAGGGAAGTGGTTGGGGATGGAGTTTCACAAAGGAAGAGGGACATAGGGTGGAAAGGTGTTGGGAGTAATGACGAGTTAATGCAGGATGATATTCATGGGGTTATAGATGAAAAATGTTTTCTAAAACCTCTTGTGACAGAGGTCCTAAAGTCTGAATGTTCTGATGGTAGCAGTATTCAAACAAAGTTACATTCTGTTGATGTTGTTGGTGTGTGTGGCAAAGGTGTTGAAAGTATAGAAGCACTGAGTCCGCTAATACCTTCAACTAAAGCCTCAGGGGATGTAGAATGTGTTTCCAAGGAAAGTTCTGAAACAGTGGAGCAAGTGCAGGGTGATATTTCTAAGAGAATTGGTGATAATTTTGTGTTGTTCAACCAGGCTATTGAAAGCACAATGAAATGTAGTAGTGAACAACATCAGGCTGAAGAGCCAGCAGTAAATGAACCTGAGACACTAACAGGAACTACTGAAGTTGTTCAAATGATGCATAGCTATGCATGTCCTCAACCAATGGCAGAGCCTGACACAGGTGAAACTGACCAATCAGAGATTAGGAAGAAAGATGGTGAGGAGGAAGTCATGGAGGAGGAGGTGAACTGTGACAAAATGTGGACGGATCTATGGGAAGAACATTACACTGAAGTCTACTGGTATCACTACAACAGATTCACATCATGGTTCACAGAGAGTCTAGAAAACTACCATGCACTGAAAGATAAAGCTAATTCAGATAAATTAACAATAGCAGAAGGTGTTCTACAAGTTGGTCCTGATGCATCAGAAGAGGTCATGCAAGTAGAATCTTCTGAACCTTTGAATCCCAGTCCTGACAGTGGTCTAGAAGCTGAAGGACTTGGGGTTAGGATGACAGATGAGGGAGATGAAAGTCACACAGGCTGTGATGAAAGCAAATCCTTGATTTCCAGTAAGGCTTGCTGTGATGGCAAGCAGTATGGTGATCAGGAGCAGAATTTGCCATGTGCAAAGCTTACAGAGATGAATCTAAGTCTTAACGATGTCAAAAGTGCTGTAATTACTCCTGATGGTGACAGTGGCCAGTTACTTCCTCTTCCACATCCTGCTGAGCAGGACAATCCTGATGGAGATGCTGAGGATCAGTTGATGCCTCCTCCACATTCTATTGGGCAGGACAGCCCTGATGGAAATGCTAGATATCAGTCGATGCCTCTTCAACATCCTATTGGGCAGAACAGACCTGATGGAGATGCTGAGGATCAGTTGATGCCTCCTCCACATTCTGTTGGGCAGGACAGACCTGATGGAGATGCTGGACATCAGTCAATGCCTCCTTCACATCCTATTGGGCAGGAGGGTCCTGATGGAGATGCTGATGCAGAACCATGTGATGGAAGTGGGACTGGAAAGAGAAGGCGCAGAAAAAGTGGTTCTCAGAACAGTCAGTTAATTCATTGTCAAGGTATGCATATTTGTAATATTAGTCATGATCTCATTTTCAGTATTGGGTTATTTTTATAAAAGTTAAAGTTTGACACCTGTATGAAAGTATTTTGCCAAAGTCAGTTTTATCTTTCTCATAGAAATTGATTCAGTGATTCCGGTTAATTGATTTAGTCATCCCTATACAAAAGTATTTCTCACCACTGGTCACCCCAGTGGTGTGGTGAAGTTAGAATTGGTCTTCAGCAACCGATCCATGTTGTAAGAATCAACTGATGTAATTGGGTAGTCAGGCTTGCTGATTTGGTTGATGCACATCATTTTATCTCAGTTGGGTGGATCAGTGTCCGTCACTGGATTGTCTGGTTCTGACTCATCTATTTTATGGAGTGTGGCACTAAGCACCAAAGAATGTTAAGGGAGATAACTTGTGGATTTCAGCTTCTCTACTTTTCTACTTAGTCTTTGAAGGCTATTACAAAGAAGTAACGTGGAATTTTTTTAAAAGTAATTGATGATACAAAGTTGAAATCCATATATCTTGTGTCACTTTGAAAATAGTTACATTTTTACTTATCCTGACTCATGATCTTTTGCTTATCTCCCTTTCCCTTTCGAATGGTAGTGGAACACTTGAATCCCTTGAAGTTCCCGAAGCGGACGTATAAATACACTCACCCACGAGTTACCTCCCTTTTGCCCTTTCCCACGCAAAACAGTCAGGTGACCTGCCTTACTTGTCACTGTCTCCTGAATTTCTGAATTTTACTTAAAAAAATTACATATTTGTGATATCATTAGGCACAGGGGAGACAACTTCAACCTATAAGCCAACCCAGTCAGAAGATGATGGTGAGGAACCTCCTGATGAAGTTCCTATAAAGCTTCCCAAAGGGTGAGTTAATGATCTGAACATTAATTTACATATTTAAGATTTCTTATAACAAATAATATAATAATGCAAAATGATATATTTTTCATGTTAGCTATGTTTCTCTTTGAATTGACATGTTTTGAATAGTTAATTTTTATGTTAATTCTTCATTCCAGTCATGAAATAGACGGCAGTCCCAAGAAAAAGAAGACAGTTCGGGAAGCCTTAGAGTCTTTTGGCTACAAACTGTCTACTGAGGAAAGGTATATTTCTCTGCTGACTCTGCTGAACATAGATTTTACCTCTGCTTTGCAAATAATCACACTGGTTCTTGTCAGATGATGAAAGGAATTTGAGAACATACTAAAAAGAATTAGGATACGACATGCTCTTGCTTTTTACCTGTATGAAAGGCCCTCCAGTTCAATGAGCAGAACTGCTTCCTTTGGACACATAGAAACCTGTGATTGTGGGTTTTAATCCTGGTGTACCCTGATCATATTTCAAGATTTGTCCTGTAATGTTTCAGCGAACCTAGTACATGCCGGAGGTTAACCTCAATGCAGGCTTTCCTCCCACACACTGTGATTTAACTGGAATAATGTTCAGTGACGTTAAAACCCAATTCACTGACTTAGCTTTTAATTATCATTCAGGCTCATGACCAGTGTTCATGTACAGGTACACTTTTCCTGGTTGGGTAGCCTAGTAGTTAATGCGATCACTCATCCCTGGTTTGATTTCTCACTTGGGTACAACGTCTGAAGCCTATGTCCTCCACTATGATATTGCTAAAATATTGCTAAAAGTGGCATGACATTTGTCTCACTTATTTTCTCTTAATTATGAGTTTGTTATTTTCAGTGATACTCTGCCTAGAATCAAAGATGGACATGTAACATACAAGGAAGCTAAGGTTCTGAGTCAGACTCGAAACCTAAATCTTGGTCAGAAGCCTGTACACATAAAATTTGATGATGATGGCAAACCAGGGGAGAGTAAATCTCTGAGGAAAGTCAAATCTTTCCTGCTCAAACGCTTAAAAGTATCTCAGGACTCTGATGAGGTTCTAGAGGAGCATCTTGCACCTGCAGCCAGTAAGGGTGTGGACTTTGAGGATGGTGATTCTGAGCAGCAGAAAGATGCATCTGTTGAGGAACATCTTGTGCCTGCAACCAGTACAGAAGACAAGGATCTGATCTTGGAGGATTCAGATTCTGAACAGCATAAAGATGCATCTGTTGTTTCAAAGGAAGACTTACAGATGGATAACGTTGAAACTGTTTCCAAGCAGGACACTTGGGATAAGGTTGTGTCAAAATCAAAGTCTAAGAAGAAGAAAAAGAAGAAGCAGAAACGTCCCAGTATTCCCATGCCTGAAGATGTTGCATCTGATGAGGAGTTGAAGAAGTACTGGTTTCAGAGATACAGGCTGTTCTCCAAGTTCGATGAGGGCATTAAGCTAGATAGAGGTGGGTTTGACTGTCTAGTGGTAAAATATGAATATCATTTGAGAACTTTTCAGGAATTTGTGTTTCATGATGTCTGTTTCAGGGGTGGAAATAACTTTAAAACTGCTAGTGTACTCCGGTACAGTGGCACATGTAAATTCACTTGCCCTGATAATTTTTCCACTATACCGGCTGTTTTCTTGTTGATTTTTTAAATAAACAACATAATTAACATTGGAAAGTCAACTGGACAACGGTACAGTGTGATATACATATTTGCTTGCCCGACAGAAAAAAACACTGGACTCGGACGTTGGGCAATGGGTTATTTCCACCCGTGTTTATATTTTTCTTGAAATAAGTCCTTGAGTGACCAACGTGAAGTTATGCCTATTTATAAGTGGGTTTGAAAGAACTTACAGCTGATTGATTGTTAGTGTTGAGGAGAATTCATTTGCAAATTTCTTTACGAATTCTTGATATGCCATCAGACCTCCATTGATGGTGGAAATGTTTGGGAAATATAAACATGTCAGATACCAGTATGAACCGATGTTTGTTGTTGCCAGAGAGCTGGTTCTCTGTCACGCGCCGGAGAAGATAGCGGAACACATTGCAGAGAGATGTCAGTGTGACACTGTCGTAGACGCCTTCTGTGGCGCCGGTGGAAATGCTATACAGTTTGCTTTCTTCTGTGAGAGAGGTATGTTACTTATAATTGTTATTAGTGCGTTGCATATATTTATAGGATTTAGCCATTTGGGCATATAACAGTGTTTGAGAATTTCTGTGTGAAAGTCACATGATACCTGAGAAGATCTGAGTTAGAATTCATCTTACGCAATCCATGCTTGTTGTAAGAGGTGACTAACAGGATCGGGTGGTCAGGCTCGCTGGCTTGGTTGATGTACATTGAAGCATTTAATATTCCAACTACGAAGATCGATGCCCATGATGAATTTTCTGATCTAGACTAGATTCTTTACAGACTGCCGCCATGAAAAAAAGATACACATTTAAAGATAACTTAGTCACAATTACGTTTAAGAATGCATAATGTGATTCAAGTTACGATTTTAACATTATCAGCACCCCAAACCATGGACTGGAGTCTGGAAAACGTCGATGGACATATATATATCTATATGTGTAGACTGTGATTGTAGGATCAACCAATGTCATTAGCCTTTCAAAACTCATATCTCATCTTCTCATTTCCAAAAGATCAGTTGGATCAGGTAATCAGGTTCTGTTACTTGTCGTAATCGAACACTTTGTCTTGTCCAGTGTCAAAAAAGTATTAGAATGTAGTTTTTACCTTTACACATTTATTATAACATTTCCATGTGCAATTTTAGAAATGTGGCTGTATGTTGCAGTAATCGCTGTTGACATCGACCCCGTGAAGTTAGAGCTAGCACGCCACAATGCTGGGGTGTACGGTGTGTCCGACAGGATAGAGTTCATCCTGGGGGATTACCTCCTGGTGGCCCCAACCCTCAAGGCTGATGTGGTCTTCCTGTCCCCACCCTGGGGGAGGGCCGGATTACCTGGGGTCAGAGGTGTATGACCTCGAGACCATGATAGAACTCAAGACATATCCTTTACAAAACTATGATACATGTCTTCACCACCTCTGTGTTGACTATATCTACTGGTGTATCAGTGTCTTGGTGAAAGTATCAGTGATTTTCAGGGGATTCTTTCTACTTTTCAAAAGATAAAATGTATGCACCTGACTCTATAAACAGATCTCCACCTCTACATGGTTATCTCCCTTCAATCAGTCCATTTATGTAATAGTTAATTATCCCCCGCAACGCGTTTTGCGGGGGGTATTAAAATGGACTCCGTCCGTCCGTCCGTGCACATTTGTCGTTTCTGGAGCAAAACTCTAAAACCGTTCATTATTTCTTCGCCAAACTTGGCACATACATGGATCTGGTGGTGTACTGGTGCCTTTTGGTAGTTTTGGAATTCTGAATAAAATATTTTTGGCATTTCCATGGCAACAAGTTCGACTTAGCCTGAAATTGGTGATAGTGCTGTTTTCTGGAGCAGAACTTTAAAAACCTTTCAATACTCTCCTTCCAGTTTTCTATATACACACCTAAATATTTGACATAATCATAACTCGTAGACATAATCATGAAGAGTATTTTGACATTGCGGGGGATATTGATGACTTTGTCTTCTTGTTTACTCTTATTTAAAGTTTTCTCCATCTCAAAATAAATCCTTTGGTCCTTGCAATATGTCTTCAGTTACCAGGGTTGTATTATACTGAACAAACTTATGTTTAGATTTGTTATGATTTCATTGTTGGTCATCTGCAAGTTGTTTTAGCCTGAAAGGGCAATGTAATCTAATATATGTTACTGTTTTCCTTAACTAGTCTACTTCCAGGATATTTGAAATGACAAGGAAAATCACAGAGAACATAGCATTTTTTTGTGCCAAGAAATGCCAATGTTGAACAGGTGGGTCATTTCTCCCAATCATGATGTGTGTCCCCAGTAGCCTGTGCTTGTTCTAAAGATTGTAGTGTTTAAAATTCATAAATGATTTTTAACAAATTAGCTGGAAGAAAGAAAAATGAATGTGTATCTGAATATTTCAAATACTGGTACGCATCATTTATCCAGCATACAGATAAAGTTTATGGTATGACAGTTGCTAACTGTGACAAAACAACATTCATCCACCCTCTCCGCTTGATCATGAGCTTGTTTATGGACATAGATTTACATAATAACCATTTACTTGTTACAATAATTAGTCATTAATTCTTAAATATGTTGATGCGGCGTAAAGCAATAATTATTCATTCATTCTTAAATACCCTTGGTTGATTAACTTGGATATGTTAATCATGATAGTTTCTCATTGTATATTGGGATCAGAGTTCGACCCCAGGAAAATCCAGTGTTAGATGTGTTGTGCTTAGCAGATTGTTCTTGTTGTAAGAGGCAAATAACAGGATAAGATGGTCAGGCTCACTGACTTGGTATGTCATCCTATCCAGTTGCGTAGATTGATGGTCCAGGTGTCAATCACTGGATTGCCTGGTCTGGTTATTTTCTGTACATGTAATCACTGTAATTTAGGATACTTGCACTAAACTGTCTTACTGACTTGTTCCAGCTGACGGCACTTGCAGGTCCTGGCAGGAGTGTAGAGATTGAACAAAACCTCCTTAACACTAAACTCAAGACCATCACTGCCTACTATGGGGAGCTCATTCTGGATGGCGAGGAAATCATGACAGACACCCACTGACATGTGAAGCTTTAAGACAATTTCCTTCTGACATGTAACTTATTCTGAAGTAATAGTCTTCATTGTGGTGGAGTACCCGCGTGGTTGAAGTGTACAATTGTAATGCTGGAGACCAAGGTTAGATGTTCCAGAAGGGTACAGTTTGTGGGGCTTGTGTTTGGTGATACTGGCATGGGTTTCTTTGTATATTGATCAGGATGAGAGGACAAAAAAAATACTCAAGTCACAGCAATGAGGGTAAGACAGTACAGCAGGCATTTATGACTACAGGGGATCGAATCACTGTTTGGACAATGATTTTTTTAAATAAATATCTATATTTTTGCAACCGTATATTGTTTTTATATGTTATGAAATGTTATATTTCAAATTTGAATGAAATTCTCCTGCTAACTTACATAAAGTACACAATGTATTTTATGTAAGTGTAGCAGGAGAATTTTCTAAAAAATCCATTTCTTCACTCATTTCGTTCAAATTTGAAATATAAGTTACTCATAACATATAAAAACAATATACGGTTGCCAAAATGTAGATTTTTATTTTCAAAAATTATTGTCCAAACAGTGATTCGAACCCCTGTTCGACCATCGCTTCTTTACAAAGGGATACACTTCCAAGGAGGAGAGCCGAAGTGATAGTTTGAGAAGTCATGAAGAGGACTTGTCCTTCGGGAGAATTCATTGTACCTGTGATCATTGGAGAGAATTTATTGTACCTGTGATCATTGAGAGGTTAAGGACATGTTAAGACCCTTTCACCAGGAATGTCATCCAGGACATAAAAAGAGACACACAAAATAGAACATACATTGAAAGTGAAACAACCAAAGTCTAGAAAAATGTTTGCTGTTGGGCGTATTAGTAATTGGACTGTTGGACCGTAACTACCGCAGCGATCCAAGCGGACAAAGGGGCAAAACTCCAGGAATGTTCCCCATTGGATCACAGGCAAACAGTAGCGCAAATAGGGCTGCGCAACACAGAGATAAATGACCAGTACTGTTCATATTCAAAAGAATAATGAGGTTCTTCACTTTAAACTGGGGGGGGTATGGGCAGCTAGCTTGTCTCTGTGCATAGTTGTATTCCGTGTCATCTCGGGTTCAGATGTAATTGTTTTTGAGGCTCGCATGTCCTCAAGATCTTCAAGTGACCTGGACAAATCCCATATCCATGAATTCAGTGGCTCAAGTGATACAAAACCACATGTGTATTGCAAGGTGGGGATGTCCTCAAGGGCTCCTTGCAAACGGATGGCTAACATCCTCATCTGCGTGGGATAGATTTTTACTTATTTTTTTCATTTCCTCATCTTATATTCACACAGAATTCATGTACATTGTGTATAACTTTTATCACATTTATACTTTTTATAAGCTTACTGGTAAAACAAAAATCGCAAAATTATCAAATTTTTATGGTCAACAGTGAGATATACTTGATCAACATTCCAAGCTTACTGTAATGTTGAACCTCTGGTGGGAGATTGGATGTCAAATAACACCAACATGTAACTGTACGAATCATTTTATTATCATTAAATGTACATTATGTGTATGTTTTGTTCTATCAATGTCGTATACACATATAGCACCATGTATTTAACTGGTTTTAAACAGTACAGTGCTTGACCATTACATTTCCATGCCTTGCACTCACGGTACAACTTCAGTACCTGCCTTCAGGCACAGCAAACAAAATTATATTCTCATTCTTTGGCGAGGATGAAACCCAAAATGTTAGACAGAAAATGTCTTTTTCTTCCATTAGATTTCTAGATGTCTTTCGTATGAAAATAATTTCAAATCAACCTTCTAATTCCTTTCTCTTGCATTAGATTTCTGGATGTTTTGCGTGTGAAATTAATCTCAAATAGACCTTAATTCCTTTCATTCCACCTGTAGTTAACATGGTTTGGCAAATGGTCAAACAATAGTTTGGTTTGGTGAAGAACAATACCTGCATGTTACATCACAGGAGAGAAAGTAGCCTGGAAACTTTAATAGCCTGCATAGTGATGACATAGGTGTTCTGTAATGTGAGGGGCAACAAGCTCTCAGGAATTCTTTTACCATTACACTGCAACTGATAAAACGTTAATGTTTAACTATGCTCTGTATCCTTACCAACTCTACTGGCAAACAAGGATAAGTTGGACCGGCGCAGAGAACGCGTTTACGAGAAGCAGGCGGTGCACGGCAATGAGCAGACCCATTTGGTTTGTGAAAGGTAGAGCAGATGAAGGCTAGTGCACGTGCATTGCATGAAGATGAAATTGATTCTGCGCGTAGCTGCACACACCTTGCTCATAAGACTCTCACGTCGGTGTAGCAAGTCACATTACACTTGATCGTGGACAACCTAGGCCCCTTTGCTAACAATGGCAAGCACCAGTGGGTGGCACTAATACGAGTCAATTGTCGGTTCGGTGCTCAACTTATCCTTGTTTGCTAGCAGAAAGAAATATAGGATGGACTGATGATTTTAAGAAATTACAAGATGGTCATAGTTTTCCAGATCACTTTCAAAGAACCTCTATAAAAGAATGGGAACAATTTCTTTCAGTATTGTTGTGATGCAGTTCACCTGCAACTCGTAAGTTCAAATAATTTCAATATGTTCTCTGTCATGTCTTTCTTAGAGATAACCAGGGTCATATTCTTAAAGCTGCATAAACAACTGAAATCTTGACCCAGCTGAGAATTCAAATGGCATCAAAGTTGTGGGAAATGTTTGGAAATGTTCGTGACTGACCAGTGACAATGAAAAAGACACACTCATACCCACATACTCAGGGAAGCACTGGCTACAATTCAAGTTCCGGCAAATACAAGGTCCAATTGGAATACTTCTCTCCAGACACCAATATATATATATATATATATATGTGTGTGTGTGTAATTCCAGGGACAAGTGTCACAGCACACATTAATCCCGACAGCTTTTTTCGCAAAACACCAAGGCCACAATTTACAGATTACAAATGCTCCATGTGATGCTAAAATAAAAGGTAATAATTATCTCCAGTAAGGTTATTCAAGATTTGATATGGGTAGATCAAAAATGCATTTAACATAATTTACTGTATCTGCATGATCAACCAAATCTATTGACCCATGTATCTTTTCACATGAAAACAAATTCATAAAATTGTATTTTCTACCTAAGATAATTTAAAAAATAAAACAAATGTGACCTTTTTATGTTTTCTGTAAATGGCTTCTGGCACAAAAATATATAGGTTATCACTAACATTAATGATGCAAGACCTCTGGATGTATCTCACATTAACTGCAGAGAATAAAATATCAAGAACTAAGGGAGATAAACAGTCACATTCTGTCACATGAAGATAGGAATACAAAATATACTAGGTACATGGTACTGGCAAAAACAAGTCAGTATTGACAATATACATGAACTGTCTGCAAATGGCTATACTGATAATACACAAAATTGCATGCAAACTTTGCCATAAACATGATAAACGTTCAGCAATATCCATGCAACAGTAACTAAACTGTTTTCCCCCATGCACCCCTCAAATGAAGATACACATTGCATTCCTATGATAATAAAAGTACCCCATACTCGGCATATTAAATACAAGGGACAAATTTCTGTTCAAAGTTAACAGATTACTTAAGTCCTAGTAGGACAGTTACTCTCCAAATAATAACTCTTTACAGGGTCAGATTTAAACTTGCACATGGGGACAAGGGTATATCCTGCTCTCCATTGGTGGAGACTTACTTTCAACATGATCATTATTGAAGTGAGGCTCATTTAAACTTTTGTTTGCAGAAACTGTGTGGTATGAACAAGGAATTATACAGTGGAACTTTATATACCAACATAGTTCTTAGAACAGTTATTCTGAACAAAATGCTAACTTTTACTGTCATACATCAGTGGCTATCTTTCTTTAGAGATATTGTTAAGCAGATTATAGTTGGATCTGCATAATTAAAGCAAATGGAGAGAAAAACATGTGAAATGAGACTTTCATTATGGATATCTATCCATTTGGACGTGAACTAAATGTTTTCAGTTTATCTCTAAGAGTATATGTCAGGTTCATGAAAGAAATTTTCAAAGGAAGAGTGAGTTTAGTTTTTACGCCGCAATATTCCAGCAATATCACGTCAGGGGACACCAGATATGGGCTTCACATATTGTACCCACGTGGGGAATCGAAACCAGGTCTTCAGTGTGACGAGTGAACGCTTAGACCACTAAGCTACCCCACCGCCCCTTCAAAGGAAGACTAATCAGAGCCAAGACATGGTTCTTGAGATAAATTAGTCGTATGATTGTCTCCCTCTTGATTAGGTAGGTTCTTAATCATGAAATTTCAATTGTAGTCAAGTTAAAGGTTAGTTTATACTTGCTCAGGCCCTTTTTATAAAATATTTGACCCCAGTACCACTCACCTCTAAACTAACACAAAATATCACAAGACACATGAATAACATCCTTTCACACCACTACACTGACGATTGCATACCTGTATATATGGAGGCACTGACGGAAGGGGTGGTGCGAGGGTCAGTCGAGACTGAATTTTAGACCAATGTTATCTTCAGAAATTGCAATAAAGGTATTCCTTTGTAGACCAATGTTAACACTGATAAGAGGGAAAGTATTCCGTAATTTACCAATAGTTACACTGACAGCAGAATATGTTGATGTATCAACCAGTGGTAGCATTGATTACAGAAAATATCTTCATGTATTAACCAATGTTAACATTGAAAACAGAATATGTTGATTTATCAACCAGTTTTTTACACTGATAACAGAATATATTCTCATATTAACCAGGTAGTTACTAATGGTTACACAAGGAACAGAAAATATGTTTATGTATTAACCAGTCACCAGTGTTAACACTGATAACAGGAAATATTCTATAATTTACCTATGGTTATATTGGTAACAATATATTCTCATATTAACCAATATTAACACTGATCATGCGGATGACCATTTACACAGAGCATATCTTCATGTATTAACACTGATAGCAGATGAACATATTCTCATGTTAACACTGATCATGCTGATGACCATTAATACAGAGAATATCTATATGAATAACCCTGATAACAGATGAACATATTCTCATGTTAACACTGATCATGCTGATAACAGAATATATTCCTGTATTAACGCAATGATAACAGGAATACATTTTCTTATCAACTAGGGTTGACATGGATCATGCTGATAACTGAACATATTCATGTATTAACCAATCTTACCACTGACAGCAGGACTACATTCTCTTCTTAACCAATGTTAACACTGGTAACAAAAGAAAAAAAACTACGCCATGTTATGAATGAGCTTACAAATGATTGGTTAGACTTTCAGGATATTTAAAATGATAGTTGAAAGGGTTGACATGATACTCAAAGTGACTTTTCCAGTGCATTCATTCATTAGACATCTTAAATGAGAGAAATATTCTGTGCATACATTAAGGAATATAATATGCATTTTATTGCACTTTATTTGGAACTGTCTCAAAAGATTTCCCATTTTCGAAATCTGAATAAGGTGTTTGTATGTGTGAGGTTTTCTGTTAACGCTTAAATCATGAAAAACGTTGCCATTTGTACCTTCAAGCAAACATTGTTTAACACCAAAACTTAGTACTATATCTGACCATTGTTTACAAGGACAAATTCATCGACAGTTAAAAAAACACTTAATAAAAACCTGAAAGCTTTTGAGACAGGTTCCAAGAATGAAAGACGTGTGTAACAGTCAAGCTTGCCACTGTTAAGCACAGTTCACTTGGAAGTTAATTGTGGAGGGACTCCACAGCTTGATACAGTGACCGACCTACCAACTACAATATTCACAGTCGCTTCGTGCACCATCAGTATTTCATCAACAGACACTGACCCAATATGTTCTAGCACATACCATCTCATTAGCATATCATACAATATGTTGAACCGTTTCCTTGCCTTGTTGAACAGTGCAAATCCTGACTGTCACATACAGAGAACTGTTGGGATATGATGCATGAAGTTCATCGATTAATCAACACAAATAAATAGATCATAAAATTATATACAACAAATGCATACAACAAAAGTATAATTTACAAAGTTGAAGATCCTGTCACTGAGGCTTAAGCTGTCTTAGTTAACAGCAAATACCATAACACAACAGTGTATGAGTTACAATCTGTACTGACAGATTTCTTTAAAACTTTGAGGTAACCATGGTAACCAAACAAAATGTTTGTATAATCATCAGAATAACGTTACATGATTATGTCTTCCGTGGAGTCTGAACTTTACAGAAATGAGTAATTATGCATGTCCTTAAAAACCAAAAATACTGCATACTTTACATGTTACCATGGTTACGGTAAAATTGAATTAACTTATGTATCACGTGATAGAAAAACTCAGTAAAATTGTTTAATTCTTTCACCTGGAATGACTCAAAAGGAGGACAAGGTTAGACAAACAGTAGTCTCTTAGACTAAGACTAGTGAAAATCAAGAGGGACAAGTTGTTTTTCCCCCAAATCTTGTTACCTTATATCATCCACTAGCTCAAAGTAAGCTAAGGACTATTTGGATACTGTCAACCTGGTTTCCCCATGGGGGTATCAGTTGATTTACTACTTCACTAAATTTGTAGTTTCTCACTGACAGTATCATATTTTTAGGTCAGTAATAACAAAATTTCTCCCAAATCTACTGATCATGCTTAAAGAGATGTTCACGAGATAGTGCTGATGATCCTAGTATCTGCTGTTCAGACCACTGAATTCATCCGAAGAACATTGTGAATTTTCAACATATTTCAACATGACATTGACCCTTGAGTCATTTTCTCAGAATTTCCTCTTCACAGTTCATCATTCAGATTCCAAACTGGTCACAGCACCACAGATTTGCACAGGCAGACGTTTCCATGGTTACATACCACTGCCCAGAGCAATTATTTTGCTTATGTTTTGGTTGCCAATGCAAACCCTTTGTAAGCTAAAATATAGTAGCATCAATAAAATCCAGTGTAGCATTAACTCACAATTCCTTCACCATTCACTAGCTAGTAAGTAGCAGTAACTCTTGCAATATCTAGCTCCTCTTTCTTCAAACCTGGAGCATCAGTAACCACGGTGACAGCAAGCTCTCTTTATACTATAATCAGAATTGGTTACCATGGAAACACCTTGTGCATATCCAAGCCATGGAAACAGTTGCCCAGTCTTCTGCATAGTCAGCTTTAGTAACCATCACAATGCATTTGACCTTACATCATTGGTTACCATAGCAACAACTGACACTATATTTAGCATCAGTAAAACCTGACTTGCTGAAAACCACTCAGTGGTAATTCCTGGGGTTGATGTCAATTTTAACACACTGACTGAAATAACTTCACTCTTCTCGGCCCCATTCTTGTCAAGTGTATGGAGAGTCCGTACAGTGCAGACTCTACTTGATTCCTGCTGGTGTCAGTTTTGTAGATTTGTCATGTTTCTCAGGCTGCAAGCGAGGCTCAGGCAACTTGAGCTCAAACCCTGATCCTGATAAAGAAATATTTATTATGATCATGATCACATACACAGATTATATAAATTACAAATTTTCATCCCTAATATCAGAACACAAAAAACAGACTTCTCCCCCACAAATCACTATAAATATGAAAATAAAATAAATCTTCTTTATTATTCTTCATTCTTTGAAACAATCTCAATAACAAACCTTTCTGGTCCAGATTTTTCAAGTCAGTCAGTTCATGCTTAAGCCTCAATCGGAGAATATGCTGCATCAAGTCTTTCCTGAAACATGTTCATCTAATTGATCATTCTCTTCACAACAAGCAAATTGTTTTATATCAGTCAGATGATAAATATGTCATCAGTCATACCTGGCAGAATTCACCCAACAGTCTTTGAAACATGCTGAACATGTAAATATACTGAGGGGGAAAAATAAGGGATCACATGAAAACACAAGTGTTCCTTTATTTTTTTCCAAGGTTTCTTCACAAGCTTTGTATCGCACAGCTTGTGAAGAAACCTGGGAAAAGAAGGAACACTTGTGCTCTCATGTGATCCCTTATTTTTTTCCCCTCAGTATGTATCAAATTATAAAGAACTATATCATTTTTCATGTTTTATAGAGTGTCTTTAAAAAAACACAAGCTGTTTCCATGCCTGAGTATTCTCAAGCGGTTACCATGGTTACTAAGCACGAGTTCAAGTACAAACCTGTGTTCATTACTCGTAATACCGATCTTTTCTAGTTTTATCTCATTCATCCGTATCAGTGTTCTCCCTGCAAGACAAGACACAGAGAGGGTATAGATCACACATGTACCCAGCCACACAAGTCCACAATTTAGTACCTGGCATGGAAATTGTAGACTATTAATGAAATACAGTTAAAAGGTCACAAATACCACACCATTTCTTGTAACGTAAGATTCTGGGTAGGTGAAATAAGTATGATTATATAATTATAATAATCCTTCTGTAAATTTGTGTGAATTACCTCCCCTTGCCCATAGAACAGCTAACATATTAATGCCCTATTAAAATGTACACATTTGCACAGGAAAACAAATTACCATTGATGCAACCAATGTCTTTTCATGAAATATTTTCCATCTCATTTACATGAGATATTTTACTCTAATGCGATAACTCCCATCAGGATCACATTGGGATAAAAGACACAATGTTAACTAAACACAACACAAAGATTATTTTGTTTCTTGTTATAAGTATTATCAAGGGATGTTTCTATAGTGAGTGAGTATGGTTTTACATGGCTTTCAGCCAAAATTCTGTTGGGGGCAAACTAGTAATTGGGGTAGTGTAACACTTCTACGGCATGTCGAGAAAATGCTCCAACCACTAGTACAGTCTTTTCAGAAGAATGGTTAGTGAGATTCACAGCCATCAGTTCCAGTCCAATCTCACCTGTCACATCATGCTGACTGAACAGTTCCCCATACAGATCAAAACACTGCCCTCCATGTTTCCGCAGCCATTTGTTGACGTCAGCACTTGACCAGAAATACAAGGGCTTGGCCTTCCCCTTCATCACCTTCTTGCCCACCGTCCCATTGGACTCCTTCAGCTTCATCTGAAACGTGAATCAACAGCAACTACAGTGGTTTTGTTGAACCATGTAGCAACAGCAACTACAGTGGTTTTGTTGGAACCAGGTAATTATTGTGTTAGTATTGTATTTGTGGTAACTATTGTACAACAATATCTTATACATTTCATAGGTGTGGAACTTCATTTGTCAGTTGTGACTGCCACATTGTAGTCTGTTCAAACCATCCTATTTTACAACTTAACATAATCAATTTCCAACCTGAATCCAATAGATTCCACATTACCAAACTGGTATATTACCTTGTTAGCCGAATCAGGAACCTCCATTGAACCACCTGGAGATTTCTCAGGAGGTTTTATATGGTCGTCCTTTACATCAGTTTCCATGTTGCTGACCAATCTGAAAATATAATTGCATCTAGAATGTCTAGTAAAATACACATCAAACAGTCCAATGACAGATCTTTATTATGACGTTAAAAGTGTGTAAGATTGGCTTTGCAGCATAAAAGACAGACAGTCAAAAACGACCTTTACAGAACATACCTACAACCTGGATATCAATCAATAGGACAATCAATTGGTCAGTTGTGATTAACAAGAGCCTAGGGGGTGTTGATGATGATGATTTTAAGTGGGGGACACCCATTTTGTTCTGGGAGCTGGGGGGTTTCAGCAATTTTGTACACATATACTGGGGGTGGGGGGTGTTTCAACAATTTTGTACATTAAAATGTTTATAATTATGCTTAGAAATTATGGGAAGGGGAGGGGGTCATTGATTATGTACAAGGCATGCAGGGGGGGGTTCCACTTATTTTGTACATAAATTTTAGGGGGGGTCATTCACATTGTACATGTTTCTCCATACAAATCATCACCACCACCCCTAGCCACAAATTATGAATCATTGTCAAATGAAGCTTAGCATTCTTCAACATATTTCCTCTTGTATGTCAACACCCAATCAATTACTGCTTTGCAGGTGTGTCCATCATTCATTTGGTTAAAACTAAAAGGGGTGGTGGGGTAGCCTCGTGGTTGAAGCGTTCACTTGTCACGCCGAAGACCCAGGTTCGATTCCCCACGTGGATACAATGTGTGCTAAAGTAGTCGGAAATGTTAGAAAAATGCTTTTTGACTTATATTTAAAATTCAGAGGTATTACAGTTACTTAAATAACAAATATCGCTATAAGAAACATCTACCTAATGTAGACCGAGGGGATAAATTTTTAGACATCCCCTAAAATGTGCTTTTACTGATGAAAATACCAAAAACTTAGAAAAATAAGGGGTAGTGGGACGTTATTTGATACAAACATTAACTGCCTGTGTTACGTCATCAACATGCACGGTATCGACAGGTGAAATTGACACCTGAGCACACACTTGGGTGAGGGGTCATCTCAATAGATGTTTTCTTCAAAATGTTGAATATGTGTACGTATAGTATACGTACTGGTTATGTGAGGGATCATTTGTGTATGTGTGTTTGTTGTGAAATAAACATACGAAGTACTGTACATTGGAAAGAATCCTATCACTTGTGTTATCTTATCAATTGATTGTAGAAATGTGCAGCGTTTTAATAAATGTTTTGCATGTCAACAGTATATTTCATTGCAAAAATATGGATGTAATTCGGTCAGTTTAATCTAGTTGTGAACATTGGCCAAAGATTTAACAAAGTCACTGGTGTAGCTTCTTTAGAATATATATATTCTTCTTCTTCTCCTAAAGTTTGTAGACTGCCCGTCTAAGTACTCTCTTGTCAAAGTTGTCAAGGATGGTTTTACGTCCCGGTTTTGCTTTTGAGACGGTCCCTGTCTTGTCTGATTTGTTTACAATATTGTAAACTTGTTGGTAAGACATACCAACAGCTCTATACCCTTTCTAAACTAATGAAAGGTTTACGTCTGTCTTTTTCAAGCACAAAAAACTTATAAACCTTTGCAACAATCGTCTGCAAATAGTTGGCCATAGTGGACGCTGTGATAAAGATGTGCATGCATGATGGGAAACTTATTTATCAAGACTTAACATTTATATTAATATTTTTTCAATAAAGAAACGATAATTAAGTAAAGTAACACAAACATTCAACATTTATTTGTTTAAGAAAAATGTTAATTTATATTTTTACACCACCTGTATTATTAGCATAAATGTAAAGACTATTTCAGATTTCTGTTGTTGAACTCTGAAAAAATCTGAAGTTGTTGTTTTGGTACCAAATTCTCTCCTGTAAACTGCTCTTTAAATGCATGGGAATGTTAAATCAATTGAAATAAAAATTAGGTACACTATAGGTGAGTTGTTATATTGACAACATACTAGTAATACATTTATGACCTTTCTAAAGATATTAAGCCTAAAAAGCATTTTTCTAGCATTTCTGACAGTACTTTAACTCCTTGCCACAGGCACTTAGATAAAGGACTGTTTATTTACCACCCCAAGTATTCATTTAACATTTTACCTCACATCCCCTTCCCCTTAATACAAACCCAGTCATCAAAGACCTAAGTGAGTGCTCTTGCTCTCTCTCTCTCTCTCTCTCTCTCTCTCTCTCTCTCTCTCTCTCTCTCTCTCTCTCTCTCTCTCTCTCTCTCTCTCTCTCTCTCTCTCTCTCTCTCTCTCTCTCTCTCTCTCTCTCTCTCTCTCTCTCTCTCTCTCTCTCTCTCTCTCTCAGGGCCTTGTATTACAGAAAAATAATACGTCCTAGGTCCAACATTCGTTCACTGATAACCATCTATCAGCCATCAACATATTAAGAAGGACTTCTTTATATGTTGATGGCTATCAGTGAACGAGTGTTGGACCTAGGACGTATTATTTTCAGCAATACAAGCCCCTGTGATCGGAATTTCATGTCGTGTATTAATAACAACATGTCCAGCAGGCTCTGTGTTATAAATATAATTTATAAACGAACATGAAATGTTATATTTATATTAAAAACACAAACATAAACCCTCACCGTGTCTCGCTCTCATGAAAAGCTTATCGCCATATCGTAAACATATCTAACAGCTGATGCACGAAGTACCCCGAGTTATTCCGAGTGTAGTTCCTGGCAAATGATCGTCAGGAAAATTCTAAACCATTCTACTGGCATTTGAGACCATTCCGCTAATGCAACTGCTTAGTAAACAAGGAAAAGTGGCACATTACTCTCTTGACAATTTGTTGCAATGGATTTATGCTTCATAGCTATATTTACCCATGAAACCTTTAAATCATCCGAATCGTCAACCTGACTGGTTTCCGTTAACTCATCCCAAGGTAGCCATTGCTACCAACGCCCTCAAGTGGTAACAGGTGCGTGAAGGGGAGTAACTCTAATATTGCTTCATTATACTTTCTGTCTAGCTTACATGCATTTTATTCATAGCCAACACGTTCGTGTTCGACCCGCTTTAAGTTAAACAGAACGAGTGGGATTTTCTCAGCTTAACTAAATGAAACAAGAATATATTCATTATCCCGTGTATATCATTACTCTTTTATGTATTGCTTATATATATATACATTATTTTTTAAAGACCTCAAATGAATCACCTCGGTTCGACAAAAGCATGCATTTGCCTGAAGTAAACGTTCAGGTTTGTTAACACTGTTAATAACAGAATGGTGTGAAACTTACTTATTTAAAAACACAGAGCACACTTCGTTTGATTTAAACATATTTTTATTCATGAAGATGAATTGGGATTGGTGAACAAGCATTACTGCTTATATTAACACCGCTACCATGCAACGTTTAATACAACATGAAATGGAGGATTTGACGTCATCGATACTGACCATTGCATAAATAAATAATATTTTTAAATATATATAAATATATACAGATTACATTAAATACAACTATTCTCTAAGTAGTCATAAGTTAGAGAGTTACAGTTGTGTGTGTCTCACAAGCCATTGTAGAAATATAAGTCAATCATGAGAAGGTTGTTGTGAGTAAATTTAACTATTTGCCTGAGAAAAATTGAAGCGTTGTGTCTTGGTTATATAATCGTAACTATTTTCTGGTTTACACAGGGAGTAAGTTCTTTGTTTCCCTTAAAGGTCACATGCAACGTAAAACACAACTTTGCAGATTCTGATACCTTTCGGTATGGACTTACCGAAACAAATCATCAAAAATGTAAATTCTACTTATGAAGTTGAAAAATAACGCGATGTTTTTTCATCGCGTTATTTTTCAACATGAAATGGAGGATTTGACACATGATATTGCTGGAATATTGCTAAAAGTGGCTTGAAACCGGAGTTCAAACGATTCGCTAATTTTCACCCGACTTTTCGGGGGAAAACTGGTTTCAACAGCTGGGATGCGTTCATAGCACGTGCGCAGTGACATAGGTTCGCGCAACTTGGAAGCGGGTTGTCGGGTGAATACTCGGGGAAGGCTTTGGTGTGAGCTATTTTCCTAATGTTTTGTTGATATCTCACTGGCGCGAGCTTTTTATGTTATGACAGTAAATAAACTGTTCATATAATTTCATTTTGTCTGTTTCACCACACGTTCTTCTTACCGAGTCACTTTCTCAGTTCGATACTTAAAAGCAATGTCATTATTTAGCGTTGACAGAATTTCTAAATGTGAGATAGATATGTCGTTGTCACAGACAAAACTCAATGTGTTGTTTTATTGACACCTGTGTGTCTGCCTGCCTGTCTGCTAATGACAATATTCAATACACAACTGCGATCACTGACCACATGCAATTTGAACTTAACACCAATCAGGCTATACACCATAAACAAAACGCATTTATTTATGGCCCGAGTTCGGTCTCTGTCACATTATGTAATTACACAGACAGGCAGGTGTGATACTTGAACACATGACATGTTATGATGTCTGTTGATTGCAAAATGTTATACACAAAAAATGAGCATGTATTTACAAAACCCAACATCTCTATATATACACACACAATGAGCCGTGGGGGCATCTGCAAATGAACCAGCCGTTACACTTGAGTGCACAACCACCCGCTCTGACTGGGTTCGGAATCCCGGCTGCTTCGTTTCTTTGGAAGTAAACCCAAGTACACAATATTGCACTTTTGATTTGCGATTGTACGCTTATAATTTTGTTTATATGTTTTTTCATAACCAGCAATGTATATTATATGTCATGAATCAGTGATAATTGTGTTTTAATTATGTTTGATTTTTTGGTTGCATGTGACCTTTAAGAATGGTATCCAGGTTATAACCGGTAGTGTAAAAATACATATTAAGTCTTATCCGAGTAGGCCCTATAGTTACGGCAAGTGAGGAAATAGTGTAGGGCGTTCTCACTCTGATGTCCACAAGAACAACATGGGCTGTCTATTAAATGTCTGTTATACTTATCGGCGTTTAGGTCGCTACATCCGAG